GGACTCGTCACATCCTTGCCTGGCGTTTGGGCCGAAGGACCAACGAGTCGTTCGCATCACCAGCCATACGAGATGGTATCCAGCGCGGCTGGTCCAAACGGCTTCAGAAGCAATGGCCCCCGAGCATCGGCTCCACGCAAGAATCTCTCAGAGCCCAATCAAAACTCGCCCATGGCCTTTCGCCTGATGCAAGGAGAACGTTCTCACATCCACCAGCACATGCAGACTCGGTCACCTGTCCGTCGCCGCCGTCCGGGCGAGACCGGAAATGTGAGGAAAGTGGAGCGTCATGTCCAGAGGAAGGGTATCTCTTGTCCATTGAACACCACTAGCGAGGCGTATCACATCAATTGCTGCTTGTGACACCAGCCCTGATAATCCGAACACGAAGCCCAGTAGAAAAAGAAAAAGCCCAGCCACAACGCCCGCAAAGCGATCTCAAACCGTCTCGATGTATCGCTTCATCTCCCTAAGGCAAATTGTCAGCAATCTCCGGGTGCCACAGCTTACAGTGCATGCCAAGCGCAGCCAGGACAGGATGCTTACCAGTCAGTCACGGCCTCTTCCCACAGCCTGATCTCGTGCTCGCGCGTGCCACCAAAGTGGTCAACAAAGTCGTCGCCGAACACTTCGCGGGCGATGCTTTCCTTGCGCGTGAAGCGGTCATTGGCCTCCTTGAGGCTCTTGGCGAGGCGCACGCCCTGGTCAGAGCCGGAACCAACCTCCTCGCCCTTACCAAGGGGCGGCACACGGATTTCCAGCTTCTTCTCGACACCGCGCCAGCCAAGGGCCAGGACGGCAGCAAGAACGAAGTGGGGGTTCGTGTCGGCGCCGCTGACGCGAACCTCGAAGCGCGTGGCGCCAGGCTTGGCGGTGGGCGGCGCGATCAGGCGGATAGAGGCGGCGCGGTGCTCGAGGCCCCAGGACACAGTGACGGGGGCCCAGAAGTTCTCGACGAGGCGCTTGTACGAGTTGATGGTCGGCGCGAGCAGGGGCATGACGTCCGGCAAGCCCTCCAAGATACCGGCGAGGAAGTGTCGGCCCAGGTCGGAGAGGCCGGCAATATCGGCCCACTTTGGGTTCGGATCCGGGGTATCGCGGGCGAAGAGGTTCTTGCCCTGCTTGTCGACGATGGAGACGTGCATGTGGCCGCTGTTTCCGGGGAGTCCCTGTTTGGGCTTGGCCATGAAGCAGGGCGTGATGCCGTACTTTGTGGCGACGGACTTGACGACGTACTTGAAAAGACTCGCGCGATCAGCCATCTGGCGGATCTCGCCGAACTCGAGAGCGGCCTCGAAGACGCCCGGCCCGCTCTCGGTATGCCATCCCTCAATGTCGCAACGGAAAGCGGAGCACGTGTCGAAGATGTCGTAGAAGTAGTCCTTGTTGTGGACGGGGCGCGTCAGACTGTAGCCAAACATGCCCTCGGTCAGAGCGGGTAGCGATTGGGGCGCGTTTTCTTGCAGGTATCCGGCCGTGGTGCCCGAGGCTGCGTCGGATGGGGTGGGTGACTTGAACTGGTAGAACTCGTACTCGGCTGGAAGCGGGGGGGAGCAAAAGGGTCAGCAAATACGATTTCACGCAGGCGCAAGTGCTTCAGATGTCATGAGGGAAGCCCAAAGAGAAGACCGAGGCATTTGGACTCACCACCGGCCATGGCGCCCATGTCCTTCGCCTCGAGCTTGTCCAGCGTCACCTTCAGCAGACCCCGCGGACAGGCGCAGACGGGTTCATTGGTGTCGGGGTCGTAGAAGCTGACGAGGAAGAAGGGCACGTTGTCCTCCCAGGGGATCCTCCGAAAGCTCTGCAGGTCGGGCACGGCAATGAGGTCGTGGTAGCCGTTCTCGGCATTGCTGACCTTGAGCTCGCGCACATAAGTCCTGTCGTGCATGTCCCAGCCAAAGATGACGGAGCAGAAGCCGAAACCCGACTCGGCGATGGACAGAAACTTGGACTTGGAGACGAGCTTGCCGCGCAGCATGCCGTCGACGTCGATGCCGGCGAGCTTCACCTTGGTGTCGTTCTTCAGCAGCTCGGGCAGGGCCTTGGCCGTGATGGGTTCGGGGTTCGGGGCCATGGTGGTGAGGGGTCCGGCAATCGGCGCGGGGCTAACGAACGGGCTTGGTGGACGAGCGATGCGATGAGGCGGAGGACTGTCAAGAGCACGAAAGTCTGGTTGAGCAGACGAGGAGGGACGAAGAGGCGGGGAGGCTGGGTGGGCGTGGTGGTTGTTGCGGTGAGGAGGAGAGTCAGTGAGGCGGAACCGAGACCAAGAATTGGAGAGAAGCCACAACCTGGACTGCAGACGTCACCAGACCTTGGGAGCTTCCCAGGTCGTGCTTCATTGCATGGGCGACTCGAAGGAGGGGAAGGGGGGGGTTGCAGCTGGCCTGGCCAGCCCCTGGGCCCGCCCCGGAGACAGCGCTGAGGACGCTGGATTGACAGGGGCTGGAGCGGGGGAGACTGGGGCGGGTTTGCCTCTGATAAGAGACACGCCGCCAAGAGCTACCCCAGATTGGGCGATCAAGCCGCGTCTCGGCCATCTCCCCGTTATCGTGATGCACCTCGGGTCAGCCGGCGAGGGGAGGCTGTTCTGTCGGCGGAGTATAAAAGGGATCGGGGAGGGGCATTGAGTTGGGCCTTGACTCGTCAAGTGCACTTGTTACGCTGTTTGAGGTCATACAAGCCCAGCAGTCTCCGAGAGCATCGGATATTCTTCATTAACGAGACGGCGTTGCTCGACTGCAAGCCTGACCAGCGGATCTCGTCGACCTCGTCGCGTGCCTTCATGTGGCCAGATACCGTTTAGGTGCTAAGGACGAGGATGCATCATGTTACATTGTTCTTGCGAGAGGAGGCTCCGAGCTACACCTTGCAGAAAGAAATCGACGTCAGGCTGAACGGGGCCTTTGCAGGCATGGATCTTGGTGCTCTGCAGTAAGCTACCATTGGCCTGCTGTCACAGGATTATCAGTAATCTCAATTGATGCGTCTTGCTAATGCATTGTTTGAACTGGCGTCAGATTGCTGCTGCAGCTAACCAGGCTGCTCTGCGTGAATCCAACTATCCCGTGCTTGCTGATTGATACGACAATACGACTCTTCCATATGTCATTTGAAATCGAGAATGGAGCTGGCCGTCACTGCCAGCGCTGAGCAATGCGTGCCTGTTGGAGAATAACCTGAACGAAACACGGAGCCACCGGGAGCACAGCATCACACGTGTTCTGGTTGCTTGGTCTCTCCGGATGGTTACTTACTGTTGCTAAGAACAATAACCTCTGCCGTGCCGTTGACAAGATGAGCTGTGTATCCGGGTACATTTCTATAGTGATGACATGCTTAAATCTTACTGTCATCTGCCATTTTCTCCAATTTATGCATGAATGCGGCTCAAAATTGGTCGTTATCGACCATGACGTGGCAATCTTGCGTCGATGTGAGTGATACAGTGCGTCGTCAGTGGTCTGAATCACGGCGTGCCGACTGGTCGTGCAGTTAATTAGACGATCGTCTTCTCAGGCAGAAGGCATCACTGGCCTTACCTCTGGGTCAAAGTCGATGCTGAGTCAGCTGCGATAACAGACCCCTCTGCCCCTCACCAGCGACAATTCACCTTGTCATTGCCGCCCCTCCACAGCCCCTCCCACCATGGCCTCAGCCATCACGAAACCCCGACAATCCGAACGTCCGCTCGACGAGTCGCGTAGACCCACGAATCGTGAGTTTACAAGAGGTAATGGGAATCACGATGGCCCGTTGCTGGCGCACGCGTGGCCCGAATGACTCCACCTAACGCCGACCGTGTACATTGTCAATCTTTGACTTCGAGGCGAGGGCGCGCACCGCTGTCTCCGGCGATGTTGTGAATGAAGAAAAGTTATCGTCATGGCACCAGGAATTTCGCTGAGGACGGACGCAGTCAAGACCAATCCCCAGATGGCGTCACGGTGTACATGTACTAACCCGGGATCGATCAGTGGTCACGGCAGAAGCGCGCTACCTATTTATTGGGCGACCTGACAGCACCGCATTGGGCCGACGCACATATTCTTCGTGCCGGGAATGGACAACGGCGACTGGACGTTAAGATAGGACGCCTAATACATCCATGTACTACTGTACATGTGCCTACCTAGGTACCTAAGGTAGGTAGCTTGACAAGCTTGAGTACCTTACTGTAGGCATCTAGCGCCAGGTTAGGTAGGACCGATATCGCCGCATGGGTGCTCTGTGATGCATCTGTCACGTCTCACGTCCCACGGTCCACACATCCAGCCGAACATCACGATGGTCGGCTGATAAGCCATGCCTGCACTGATGGAGCCCCCTCCCCTCCCCCCTCTTTCCCAGACACCGCGGGCGGTGAGATGGCCGGGTCTGACACTCGGGCGCATCCGTACCTGGCGCTGTACCACCTGATGCGCCAGCGCCCCAGATCCCTGGAAAGTTCCAGTGCATCTACTACGTCTCCAAGGTGAGGACCTCCTCCAAGGTCTCCCATCATCCAGGCGTGGCGTACCATAGCGCCGTTGTCGGATCTTGGTCCGTGGTCCACGCTCTTGCGCTCCTCGGTTCGTCGCACCTCTGGCGCGCCTTCACGCCATTCGAGCTCGAGGACTGTGACAGAGGAAGAGAGGGCGAGGAAGGAACCTAGAGCCCCCCTTCCCCCCAGATTTCCTTGACTCATCTGGTACCAGAGCTGTGATTCAGGTCCCTCAGGGTCGGCCCTACTCCACCGGTTAACCTTCTCTTCTTCTTTCATCGTGTCCTCTTTTGTTCCTCTTCTTCTCTTCATCTCCTCCCACCCAAAGTTGCCAACGTTGAACTAGGACCCTTGGTGCAGCGCAAACATTCCCCAAGACCCCTCCACGAAATCCTTATCAGTAAACCCCTGCCACGACGACACCACCCACCAGCACGACCACACCTCGAGCCACCACTGCTCAACGAAGCCAGTTTCAACAACATCACCAACCAACCCAATCGCAATCGAAACCATGGGTTCTGTTCCTGCCGAGATTTCTCTGACCGGCAGCGGTCGCCTCCAGGGCAAGAATGCCGTCATCACCGGTGCTGCTGGGTGAGTGACGCACCGCTTTCTCGCCTTATCGCTGCCCCCAAATTGCCCCTTGCTGACACCATTTCCAGTGGCATCGGTCTTGAGACTAGCATTCTCTTTGCTCGCGAGGGCGCCAATGTTCTCATGGCCGATATTTCTGCGCCTGCCCTCGAGAAGGCTAAGGCCAAGGTTCTCGCCCTGATCCCATCGGCCAAGGTCGACACAAAGGTCCGTTGGGTCTCCTCGAACCCCTCCTCCTCTGCCCTCTGCTCTCTGATCTTTCACCCCTCTCTTCCCCTCCCCCTCCCCACTGCCCCACCACACGATGTGTAAATGTGCCCAGTACCGTCTCGAACTCCCCTGACTGACGCCTTGCTAGCTGTGCGATGTATCTAAGGAGGACCAGGTTCAGGCCCTCGTGGAGGCTCTCGACCCCGCCGGCGGTCTCGACGTCATCTTCAACAATGCCGGCATCATGCACGCCCGCGACGACGATGCCATCTCGACGCCCGAGGAGATCTGGGACCTCACTCACAACATCAACGTCAAGGGCGTCTGGTACGGCTCCAAGCACGCCGTCCTCGCCCTGCGCCGCCACAAGAAGACCAAGGGCTCCATCATTAACACGGCCTCGGTCGTCGCTCTCGTCGGCGCCGCCACGCCCCAGCTCGCCTACACAGCCTCCAAGGGCGCCGTCCTCGCCCTGACGCGCGAGCTCGCCATCGTCCACGCCCGCGAGGGCTTCCGCTTCAACTCGCTCTGCCCCGCGCCCCTCAACACCCCGCTGCTCCAGGACTGGCTCGGCGACGACCAGGCCAAGCGCCAGCGCCGCGAGATTCACTTCCCCACCGGCCGCTTCGGCGAGGCCGTCGAGCAGGCCCAGGCCGTCCTCTTCCTCGCTAGCGACGAGGCTAGCTTTGTCAACGGCCACGACATGGTCGTCGACGGCGGCATGACCAAGGCCTACGTCACCCCCGAGGGCCCCGCCTCGGCGGCTCCCGTCAACTACGCGAGCCTCGCCTCGGGTCAGTAGGGCATGTCCTTGTCGGGCGGGTTGATACTCAAACCCCCTTGATGGACGAATTGGATGATGCATGGCAATTAAACGAAATTGTAACGCAAGTTTGTGATCAGAACGAAGGGAAGCACACAATGATTGTTTTGAAAATGAGCGTGCTTCGGCGTTGGGAATCGGGGTTGGCTGGCGTTGGCAAAGAGACGACGCGCGCGATACAGGATGGAGTCTCCGTCGTTCAGAGGGTATACCTTGTGGGCTCTTTTCTGGCATTATTTCTTTATGATTTACTACAGCATGACCGACAGACAAGACAGACTGAACAGTCGCTTTCACACCCACTCCACACACTGCTCACTTTTGCTAACATGACAATTTATCGGGATGTTCATGTGGTGCGCATGATGTACAAAATGAGATTGGACATGCTAAACAGATTTGGAACTTATAAATGGGAAAACGCCGCCCAATGCCCCAACGACTTTTAGTCCTCTCCCCTCTCCTCAGCTTCCTTAACCAAGAATTGCGCCTGCTACTCCTCAGTTGAACTGGCCCTCCGTGTTGCCCTCGCCCATGCTCTTGCTGCTGGAGCTGCCGCTCTGGATGGCGCCGAGGATGCCGTCAATGTAGCTGGCGCCGCTCCACTTCTGGTGCGTCAGGACGTCGCAGCCGCCCTCCTTCTCGCGCCTCTGAACGAGGTTGACGTAGGCGAGCATGCCGTCCGACTTGAAGTCGCGCGCGAGCTCGTTGGTGATGGTGGCGTTGGAGTGCAGGCCCGCCAGGGAGATGAGCTGCAGGACGAAGCCCTCGCGCGCAATGTCCCAGATGAAGCTCTTGAGCGTCGCGTCGGTGAAGCCGTGCGCCATCCAGTTGAACGAGGGCGAGAGGTTGTAGACGAGGCCCTTGCCGGGCATCTGGGCGCGGACGGCGCGCGCGAGCGTCGTCGCCACCTCGACGTTGGGGTCGCCCGTCTCGACCCAGAGGAGGTCGGCGTAGGGGCCAAAGGCCAGGGCGCGCTTCGTCGCGGCGTCCATGCCGGCGCGGTAGTGGTAGTAGCCCTCGCGCGTGCGGGGCACGTCCCAGGAGAAGTAGACTGGGGTGGACGTGTGCTGCGACGCGAGCTTGCGGCGGTGCGCGACGCCGAGGTCGCGGTTGGCGCGGACCGTCTCGAGGTACCAGTCAATGTGCTCCTGGGCCACGCCCTCGGACTTCATGTGGGCGACGGCGGCCTCGTCAAAGCTGACGAGCTTGGTGGACTTGACCCAGTTGGCCTCGAACGCGTCAATCTCGCTGCCGACGGCGCCGCGGGCCTCCATGGCCTGGAGCGTCTCCGCGAGGGGCTCGATCGAAGGGTCGGCCACGCCGAGGATGAACTCGTGGTCGCGCACGTCAATGGCGCTGCTGATGAGCTTGCCGCTCTCCGAGTCTGTGCGAGCAATGACGAGGTTCTCGGTGCCCATGACATCCCACTGGAACCGCGCTGCATTGAGGCGGTTGATGTGCTCGCCCACCGGCACGAGCACCTTGCCTGCGAGGTGGCCACACTTCTTGCCGCCGTGGAGCTGATCCTCAAAGTGCACAGCCGCCGCGCCGTTCTCGGCGAACAGCTTGGCCAGCTTGAGGACGGCCGACAGACCGCCGTGGCCCGTGTCGCCGTCGGCGATGATGGGTCGGAGGTAGTCGGTGTAGGGCGCCTTGGCACGCTGCTCGGGCGTCAGCTTGCGACGGGCGTCCCACTGCTTGCGGTCGTGCATCGACTGAGCTTTGGCCAGGCGCTGGACCTGGTTCGGCACCGTGTTGTAGGGGTAATCGCCAAAGTCGGGCGACACCTCGTTGGTCGACGTCAAGAGGGAGGAGCAAGCCCAGCCTGAGATGTAGAGGACCTCCTGGTGAGGAGCCTGCTGGGTCATCTGGACGGGGTCGATGGCGCCCATGGTGTGCAGGGGCTTGCCCTCCGCCCCGCGCTCCTTGATGAGGTTGAAGAGCTTACGGGCCATCAGAGAACTGGCGTAGGTCTGCTGTTGGGTCCCGCGCTTGGAGACAACATCAGCTGCGCTGTAAGGGCGCTTGATGCCCTCGTAGCGAGGAGATCGCCACCAGGCCTCGACCTCCTTGATTTGGGATTCGTACAAGGCATCCTCGGCTTCGCCAGCCTTGTTGGCCTCAGACAGGAGCTGGAAGGCATCGGCCGGAACATCGGAGAAAGGGTTGGCCGGCGTCTTGGCCATCTTGGGGGTCGTCGATAGACAGCGCGCGGCAAGCGAGGGAGCAGAAATCGGCGTCGTCCTAGGCTTGGGAAGAGGGACCCGGCGGGGGGATTTTGTCGCGATGCGGCGCATCATGGTGCGATTGTGGTTCGTCTGACTGACAAGCTGCTGTGTCTTGTCAATAACTACCTATGTTCAAGAGGGCAGTCAATCGACCACGGGATAGATGGCATACCGAGGGTAGCAATGGGTTGAAGTGTGCCTGGGTTGGAGTGAAGATATGGCCGGCGATAGCTTCGGAGACCGAGGGAATACGATGAGGCGTAAGGGCACGTCCGACAGCAGTTGGCTTCACTCGATGCAGGAACCAAAGATGAGAAATCGAGGTATGACATGCAAACAGGCAATAACACGGTCAGAAGCTGACATGCACCTGCTCAGCAGCAACTTTTAACCCATGGCGCCTGCTCTGGCCAAATGCCTTGGTTGAGCGGTACTCTTTTACCGCAGGAACGACCAACGCGGGGGTGTCTCCATATCAGCATGCCGTCATTGGCCAATCGACCTGGCCGCTGGGCCGTTGCCGGTGGGCGAGTGGAGGTACCAAGTGACGTCCCGGCTTGCCTCGGTATTCCAGGGCGGTGAGCCTCGTTCTGCCCCAGCCCCCCCCATGAGCCCCGCCTTCCAGCGCTCTTTCAGTGAGGCCCGTCGCTGCAGACGGGGGGGCTTTGGGCCGGAGCAGGAGGGAATGCCCCACTATCCCCAGACTCCCAGTGGTTCTTGCTGTTTCGGTCTGTTCGCTGCCTCCCCTCACATGCTCGGCTTAACTTTTGGACATTCTTAAGCCTCCCAGCTTTCTCTCCTCCTACACATTTCACCTATTTGCCTCTGATCATCTGCTTCACATAATCTGAAGCTACTTGACCCTGGATTGAGTCGATCGTGTCAACCAAAGCCTCTTGTGCCAATCATTGCTCTGGGTGCTTCTGATCATCAGTCCCTGGCAGTGCCCCTCCACCCTTCATACTCAATTCAGTCCATACAAAGTTGAGCTACAACAAACATTCACAATGGCTATGAACATCCGCCGAACGACGAGAGCGCTGGGCGCCCTTCGCGTGGGTTCCTCTCTGATTGTTGCAGTTGCTTTCATCTTGCTGACTTTCACAGCCCATGGCTGCCCGCTCCGCCGTCAATGCCCGCCAGTACTCCACATCCGAGCCCGACCTGAAGACCACCCTGAAGGAAGCTATCCCCGCCAAGCGCGAGCTTCTCAAGAAGGTCAAGGCTCACTCCAACAAGGTCATTGGTGAGGTCAAGGTCGAAAACACCCTCGGTGGCATGCGTGGCCTCAAGGCCATGGTCTGGGAGGGCTCCGTCCTCGACGCTAACGAGGGCATCCGCTTCCACGGCCGCACCATCAAGGACTGTCAGAAGGAGCTTCCCAAGGGCAAGACGGGCACTGAAATGCTTCCCGAGGCCATGTTCTGGCTCCTCCTGACCGGTCAGGTCCCCTCCACCAACCAGGTTCGCCAGTTTTCTCGCGAGCTTGCTGAGCAGGCTCAGCTGCCCGCCTTTGTCAACAAGATGCTTGATGATTTCCCCACCGATCTTCACCCCATGACCCAGTTCGCCATGGCTGTCTCCGCCCTCAACTACACCTCCAAGTTCGCCAAGGCCTACGAGAACGGTCTCAACAAGGCCGACTACTGGGAGCCCACCTTCGACGACAGCATCTCGCTGCTCGCCAAGCTGCCCACCATCGCCGCCAAGATCTACCAGAACTCTTACCGCGGTGGTGGTGCCCTTCCTGCCGAGGTCGATCTCGGCCAGGATTGGTCGTACAACTTTGCCGCCATGCTCGGCAAGGGCGGCAAGGAGAACGAGAACTTCCAGGACCTCCTGAGGCTGTATCTCGCCCTTCACGGCGACCACGAGGGTGGCAACGTCTCTGCTCACGCCACGCACCTTGTCGGCAGCGCCTTGAGCGACCCCTTCCTCAGCTACAGTGCCGGTCTGCAGGGTCTTGCTGGTCCTCTTCACGGGTAAAGTTGAATAGGTAAAACAATGCTATAATCAAATGCTAACAATACTACAGTCTCGCCGCCCAAGAGGTTCTCCGTTGGATCCTTCAGATGAAGGAGAACATCCCTTCGTCCTACACCGGCAAGGACGTCACCGAATACCTGTGGTCGACCCTCAACTCGGGTCGTGTCGTTCCAGGCTATGGCCATGCCGTCCTCCGCAAGCCCGACCCTCGCTTCGAGGCCCTCATGGACTACGCGTCTGCGCGTCCTGAGATTGCCGAGGACCCTGTGTTCCAGCTCGTCAAGCTGAACAGCGAGCTTGCCCCTGAGGTCCTGAAGAAGCACGGAAAGACCAAGAACCCTTACCCCAATGTCGACTCGAGCTCTGGCGTCCTCTTCCACCACTACGGCTTCCACGAGACCCTCTACTACACTGCCACCTTCGGCGTCTCCCGAGGCCTCGGTCCTCTGGCTCAGCTCATCTGGGACCGCGCCTTGGGTCTTCCCATTGAGCGCCCCAAGAGCATCAACCTTGAGGGTCTCCTTAAGCAGGCCGAGAGCGCGTAAATATCTTTTGCGGTGTGATAAAAGTCTTTTGTAGCCCTTTTTACATTTCGTGTTCCGAGACAATAGATCTGGCGGTGTTCAGTCACGGAGGATCTTCAGCCATCCATAGTTTGAATATTTACTTGTCAGCTACCCAAGTTTACAGCACTTCGCCTTGAGAACGGTTCCACACTGTGCCCACACTGAGCGAGTCGGGGTGCCAATTGTGAAGCCCTCAATTCCATTGCTCTTGGCACTATAGCCAGCAGCTATGGTCATGTGGGTGAAGGTCCCAAGCAGACCGACGCTTCCAGTGCCACTGACCCAAACATTCGATGTCCCGTGAGTCTTACAGCCGTAGAGTAGTACTATAATATAGCGTCGTGTACGTTAGTGTACCAGATCCGCCTTGCCAGCGGTTGACCCCATGAGCTGAATCTCTTGGGAACGCACATAGCGCGGATGCAATGGCTGTTGAATCGCTGCTACATCACCGATGCATTTGCCCAGGTGTGATTCTCCGTGAGACGTGTTAATCTCCAGCGATTCCATTGCTACTCAGTAATGCTCTACAAATCAACGCCCGCTTGGTCTGAAAATTCAAGTCCAACTGACCCAACCGCTAGCTTCCGGATCGACGCCCAGGCGGCGATTAGCTGAGATCCGGTTCTGTTTGTGAGGAGGGTATGGTAGCATCGGAACTACCCTGCATTGCACATCCAGGGTCACGTCACCTTCATCCAGGCGAAAGCTCTATAAAAGCTCATTGTCCCGCCCCAATATACGCCCATTTATCCTGCTCTTCATCCGCAAATAGGCGCCGCACCAAGGCGACATCGGCAAGACCACGATGCCTTCGAAAGAGAGGCTGAGAGCCACCGTTGCAGTAGGCATGACTCCATTCAGTCAATGATGGCTCCGTTTGTGACGCTGTGCTGATTGCACTTTACTGCCACTATGGACCATGCCTGTCAGTGGTTGGAGAGGAGCTCGGTTGCGGAGACGTCACGTCGCTGCCACCATCGTGAGTCTGGCCAAGTCTTGCGTCCAACATCCATTGCAAAAGAACGAATGGCCTGATTCGACCGTCGTGCGATTCATATATTGTAGAGGCGCCCAAAATAAATCGGCGACTATAAAAGGAATGCAGATCAAGGCTTGGAAAATGTGCTTCTCCTCCTCAGTCGTCCTCAAAGATCTTGGCATTATTTCCTCAGACTCGCCCGCTCTATAGCAGAATCAGCTTCACTCTTTACCCCTTTGCCTCTCATTATGAAGATCCAACTCGTCGCCCTCTTGGCTCCAGTTCTGGCCCTAGCCAGGCCCAGATTTCCCACGGTCGTCGGCCCAAGCACGCCCAACCCTAACGAGATTCAGATCGTCTCGGCCCAGTTCTCCGGCAGTGGTTGTCCCCAGGGCAGCGTCTCGACCACCATTTCCCCCGACCGCACCGTCATCACCTTTGGCTTCGACCGCTTCCAGACGTACATTGGCCCAGGTATCCCCTTTGCCGAGCGCACTAAGAACTGCAACCTGCATCTGAACTTGCGCTACCCGAGCGGCTTCCAGTTTGCCGTCGTCGAGTCGACGTATCACGGCTTCGCGCAGCTCGACCAGGGCGTCAGCGGCACCTTCTTCTCGACTTACTTCTTCTCGCAGGACGCCGGCGCCACGACGACGACGTCGACCTCGATCGAGGGCGGCGGCATTTGGAAGGACGGCCAGGTCTACACGAAGCAGGACGTCATCCCCACGGCGGCGCTCATCTGGGCCCAGTGCGGCGCCAGCGGCATCTTGAACGTCAACAACAGGATCAACCTCGTCAGCAGGGTCCCGTCTGCTTACGGCTCCATCACCGACGATGATGCTACCGTCGCCTTTACGCAGCAGGTTAACGTCAAGTGGCAGAAGTGCTGAGGGGCACATGCTGCTTCGCGCCCGGAGTTAGGGGGAAGTCCGGGGCCGTCGTGACAGAGCCAGGATATCTCATTGTAGCGAGATATTGTGGATGATGGACAGGTATCTTGCACGCCTTGTTGGTGTGTGTTGTTTGGGGAGGATGAGTCCTTTTTGTTGGTTTCCTTCACTTCCAGTTTTGTCATGATTTTTCGGTATCGGGAGTCACAGCATAAGTCAATCAAGCCTTTTCCAAGTCCCTCTAAATGGAGAAATGACTGAAAACTTGCTCAGCAACTTGTACAACATCTTCAGGCATAGGGTGTGGTTATTGAGTGCATAATGCACGATCTCGGATGCTGGATGGTAGACATTAAGATACCTTGCAATGAGTGAGGCATAGAAGTCAAGCTGATCCATCTTGGCTATAGGTTCTTCGACTTCAGGCATATGCACATCAACTTTTGTGCGCGTCTTGCTCTTCGGTTCTGGTCTTTGGGGTTCATTTCCTTGTTGGTCAGGTACCTTATGCTACGGTTCGCCTTCCTGATCTTTGCCCATCACATGACCGCACACTTCTTCGACTTCAACTTTTTCCCCTCATCAGGAGCCGCAGCAGCTCCCTCTTCCTGAACGGTTCGATACGCCCGCACTGCTTCATTCCGCTGCTGACGTCTCTCCTGCCTGGCTGCCTTGCTTGTTGCTTTCGCGAAGCTCTCTTCTTCCTGGCGGATGGCACAGGTGGGACAATTTTGCTTCTGCAATTCAGCCACTGTAGGAAGCGGAATGGTTGTCGAGCATCTTGTGAAGTTGCCCTCTTTCTTGTCGCTGACTTTTTGCTGTGCCAAGCATCGGACAATGTGTGTTTTTGAGGTATCGCACTGAGCACAATGAACGATTCGTGAGTAGCACATTGCAAGTCGACTTCTGGATGTTGAAGCCGTCTTCTTATGATTGGATAAAGCTTTTGGTAGTGTAAGATAAATGACACAATTTAAAGTTAAATATGTCTACAACCTTTGTCGGTTGCTTCATTTCACTTCGGAGGTCAACTAGATGAATCGGAAGTATCTGTGTTAATGCGGAAAAAATCGTATTCATGGAGATAAGTTACTCGCTACTCCTTCTTGCTATTCAACCAACAAAAGTGAACAACCCCTTAAGTCGCAGATTCATCAATCTAGCAAGTTTTCCTCTAATTCCTTTGTCGAGATCTTGGGCCTGGTTCCGTTTTGAATGGACTTCATAGGTTCAGAGCTACCCTCTCGACATGCGAAAGGACTGACGAGGGTGATCAAGTCCTCCACTGCGTCGCAGTATCTGGCTTTCGCTGAGGTACTCGCCGGCCGTACTGCCTTAGCCAACAGCTTAGATGCCCCCCCCCCGAAACCCACCTATATCACACTCGGGCACGCTCAACTCCGAAGCCAAGGGTCGTCATAAAGTTGCCTGGCCGTTTTCCGGTCCTCAGGCCGCCATTGCAACATACCTTTGACAAACCCCAAGAATGCTTCCTTTTTTCTTGCCCTCCAACCGCGTAACCGATTTCTCGAAGCTCATCAGCTGCGGGATTGGGATGTCGCCCTTCCATTCGCCTATGCAATGTACATAATCATCTTAGTCAGTCCGGCAAGATACGTATGAGTATCGATGTCTGATACGGCGATATGAAGAGACATACCATCTTCTGCGAAAAACTCGCTGCTCCGCTTTCCACGTCGCAGAAGGTCCGTCGGCGGCGGACCCAATAAGGCCACCAACTCGGCCAGGTGGGCGCGTGTTAGGTAGCTATTCTCTTTCGGGTCCTTACCTTGGAAGAGATGTGTTCCCTCAAATAAGTCCCAAATCTAGTTGCGGAAATCTACCAGTCAGGAACTGCTTGGACGCGTCCAGTTGAGAGCATAGTCGGGTCCATGTTGCGCGAACTTACCATGACGCCAACGTTCCATATATCGACAGGATAGCTCCATTCGGTCTTGAGCATCACCTCAGGAGACCTGTATACGTTTGGTTGCGCGTCGTGGTTCCTCTTCTTATCACCCCGAACTGCGGCCCCAAAATCGCCCAGGACGACGTTGCCGAACTGCCTGGGGCGGCCAAATTGTCGGGATAAGTATATCGGGGCCCCATCCACGAATTTCCTGGGTGAAGGATGATCAATCTCAGACTGTGTGAACGCCGCTAGGACCGACTCGTCCACCAGCTCCATCATGATGTTGTCTGCCTTGATGTCTTCGTCGGCAAGTAGCGACCTTAGCATATATCGGGAGAGGCCAGAACCGAGAAGAATAAAGAGTCTTACCTGTGTGGACAATCTTGCATTCCGAATGGAGGTAATCGAGGGCCAAGAACAGTTTTGCAAGGCCTGCTTTCAAAAGTTCCTCGCTGAACAGGCCGGCCGGATTCCAACGCACGACGTCTCTCCAGCTATCCCACATTGGCTTTTGTACGAGGCAGTGATGTATGACACCGCTGTCATCCGGTCTGTTGAGCTTGAAGGTGTCCAGAGCGGTGCGAACATGGGGATATCCAGGGTGCGAATAGTTTCCTTGCCCAAGGGCCTCGTACATTTGGAATTCTTCCAAATCGCCACCGTCGCGGGTGTAGATCTTCAAAGCCACATATTGGTGTTCTCTGTGCTCGAGTTAGTAATACAGAGTGTGCATTCAATTTGTCACTCTCCATGGGATGATCTTATCAATCGCAACCTACTCTCGATAGGCCACGAGGGAATGACATACTGAAGATTGCGGGCTAGCCACACAGTCGAAGTAGATCCGAAGCCCAGCTTGCCTAGGACTTGGTACCTTTCATCGTAAACGTCTCCAATGTTCGCGGGATAGTACTGTCCCGCTGTGTACTCGTCGAGATTTTCCTCCTCTAAAAGGGTCGAGTCGCTAACCAGAGGGAACCCAGTGCTGGGAAAGGGTAGTGGAAATGAAGGAGTCCTGCGGAATGACTTCCTCACCAGCTTGGTAAGGAAGGCCATCGGAAACGATATGTAAAGGATACTTGCGTGCAACAAGGGAGAGATAGTAGTAGATTCGCTGTTAGTTGGGGAGACGGAGAATACGACGCACCATACAATGCTTGGCGCACTAGAGCCCATTGAAACCTGAGGCTGTTCAGCACTAGGAAAGTTGAGCTGTTGGCTACGGGCCGCTGTAGCGGGGCGCCCTCCTACTTGTAAGGACACCAAGACATGTCACGTACTGTATATTTGGACGGGACGGGGACTGAAAGGGTATTGATAGTTCGTGAGATATTGGCGGTGCAATGTCCATTGGATAACGCTGCTCATCGAAGCCAATCTAGTCAACTCTGGGAGTGTCGCTCGATTAATTGATACATTTCCCTGCTGCCTTGAGTATCTTGACTTCCTTGGTTCACATTGCCTGCTTGGTTGATTATTGGTCCCGCATGGAAGTGAAGTATCATGAACAGCAGCCCAAATTTCCAAGCCCTTGGGTTGAAAATCGTCATTCGTCGTCACCTGGCCCTATATCCCGTAGATAATCTTGCAACGCCCGCGAGCACGCAGTTGTGATGGGTAGTGGCAACCCGTTTGCTCTAGGTCATGGCTCAGATCTCGCCGTGATGCAGCTCTTGGCCGGCGCAGTGAATTTTCAGGCGGAGGAGGCGAACTTGATGACACTCACGGCTAAGCTGCAGTCCAGAACGCCAACCCTCATGCCGTTACTCACCACTGGAAGTATCTTCTTTGGTTCCGTATTTGGGGCCGAGCAGGGTTCCGCGGTCAATGATTATGCTGTGCGCAGTCATGGGCTTTTCCAGAGGCATTGGACATGTTGTTTGAGATGAATATCGCATTGACGCCGAAAGCCATGACCTGTTTGCTCGCCATGGTAGCCTCGGGAGGGCCATCGAGTGCGATGCAGCAGCTGGTCCGTCTTGGCGGCGCTAGCATGGTCGTTGAGTGCTCATCGCATGACACCGAAAAACTCTTACACCTGGCGGCTGTGAATGAGGATCCTACGATGGCCAGGTACATGCTCGAACTAGGTAATGACTTGAACGCACAGAACACTGATGGCGAGAGCCCACTACATGTTGCGGCGTCGTTCGGAACGAGGGCGCAAGTTGAGCTGCTTTCTCGATCGTGGGGCCGACACGTCGCTACTGACACTTCGAGGACGAATAGTCCTTCACTTAGCCGCAGCACAGGGATGGCTGGCGACAGTTGAATGGCTGATGGAGATCGGAGCCGACATTTTCAGCCACGACAATCAGGGCCGCACGCCGCTTCACACAGCAGCAGCTTCCATGGGCATCGACTCGACGACGGTGGTCCGGTTCTCCGTCGACAGAGGCCTGGAAGTGGAAGACGCAGACGAAGGAGGCATGACGCCGCTGCACCACGTGTTGTACAGCTACGATGTACTGCACAAAGACGCGTTTGATCCCGAGGTGTCATTGGCGAATGCTCGATACCTGCTGCAACGCGGCGCGAACGTGAACGCGAAGGACCTTGAGGGGACAACGCCGCTTCACCTGGCCACATGGCGTGGTAATTCTGCAGTGGTGAAGCTGCTGCTGAAGTCGGGCGCTGACGTTGAAGCGCGAAATCGGGGCGATGTGAAGCCAATAGACCATGCTAACAAGAAGACGAGATTTGGGAGCTTCTCGAATTGGCAGCAAGAGTCTGATTTGGTTATCGTTCTAAGCAGCGATGAATATGGGCCACATATACAGTATTGCAACTACCGAGTATTCTAATCTCCCATGATGCAAATCGCAATCGCTCAGCCTGGAAATGTGGACTGAGCGATCCGTTAGCAAGCAGATGACGACTCGCGCCACCATTTCACCTGCGCTGCGGCCACAAGCAGCGTGTGGCGGTGACGACGGGCTACCTCATGGCTCATGCCAAGTTTTCCCAAAGCGGATCGGGACAGCGTCACTGTTGTGTGGCCCGATGAGGTCGCTCACGCAAATAACCCATGGAACATTGGGTTGTAGATCAGGGCCCAGAGAGCGAAAAGGTGACACATCCCGCTGCAAGGAACTGTGCGGGCATCCCAGGGGCAGAACTCTGGAGCACAAGCGTGGCCATCTTCGATCGTCTGAAATTCCGTCATCGTGGGCGGTTCTGCACTTTTCATTGGCTGGTGTGCTGGCATCTTGGGCCAAACGCCGTGTGATAGGCCGTCGGAGACTTGGAGGGCGCCAACGCGCTGGGAGCTGATCGTGGTGGCTGCACAAGCCCCGGAGCAAGTCGCCCCTGACCCTGGCAATCAGGCCGGCCTGAAACTAGTATGGGCATTGTGCACCAAAACAGAGGAACCTGGAAGACTGCTGATGCGCGCTGCTGTGCGCTGTGGTGCGCTGGAGACCAGCCGAACAGGGACTCAAACTCCAGGCCTGGGCCCAGCACTGTTCGCCTCACTCACCTCGCTCGCTCGCGCGTTCGCGCGCACCTTATCGTCGAGTTTCGGCCGTTCGTGCTACTAGGTACCTACCTAAGTACTTAGTTTTGGTAGATTCTGCCTAAAACCTGGCACTGCCACTGCTCTGATCTTCTCCCTGCGACGATGACATTTTCTTTCTTCCCGGAGGCCTGACATATTTCATCTCTCCGACACGTTGATATTGCTCGGCTTTTCCTCTCTCATCCTCTCTCTCGTCGGCTTGCAAGTCAGCACCAACGAGTCAATCGCCGAAACGCCCACGCCACTCCACCGACTGAGCACATCATCATACCTCCACACCAACCCATTGTCTTGGTTTGCAGGGGTCCGATTACTTTTCTGGGCGTCACGCCCCTCCCATCCCATCTCTGTCTGCTCTCCATCTCTGACGTGCGAACTGCCCGATCACAACATCGATTTCTCAACAAGGGCACGTTCCTCATCCTAGCCAAGAAAAAAACACCATTTACGAAATTACAAACCAACAACTCTTCCGGTCTGTAATGGCACAACAATACATGGGCACGCCGACGTCCTGGCGCCTCGTCCAGATGGCCCAGGACGCCTACGAGATGCCGCTCCAACAGCTCGCAGCACCGCAACCCCACGATTCCCACCCTTCTCTCGGCCACCTCGTCCTCCTCGTCTTCGAGGCCGTTCTCGAAGTCGTGTGCGTCAGCTTGCCCGGCTACATTGTCGCACGATTAGGGCATTTTGACGCCGACAAGCAAAAGTTCCTCGCCAACCTCAATGTTATGCTCTTCACGCCTTGCCTGAGTATGTCATCCCGGTCTGAGCTTGATTATGGCGTTGAGGAGGAAAGAAATACTGACTTCAGGACGTAGTCTTCACGAAGCTGGCCTCGCAGCTGAACGCCGACAAGCTGGTTGAACTCGCTGTCATCCCCGTCATCTTTATCGTCCAGACACTCGTTTCCTACGTCGTCGCCACCGGTGTTTCGCGAGCCTTCGGTTTCAACAAACGAGCATCCAACTTCGTCACCGCCATGGGCGTCTTTGGCAATTCCAACTCTCTGCCGATTTCTCTCGTTCTGTCGCTATCGCAGACGCTGAAGGGTCTCCACTGGGACAGGATACCCGGCGATAACGATGATGAGGTGGGCGCTCGCGGCATCCTCTATCTCCTCATCTTCCAGCAGCTCGGACAGCTGGTTCGGTGGAGCTGGGGTTACCACGTGCTCCTGGCACCCAAGGACAAGTATCCCGAATATCAGAATGAGCGGGTCGAGGAGGGTCGCTACACGGATGAGCAAGACGCACGCGAGCCGGACGCGCTTCTGCCTGGCTTTGAAGGCGACACGGCTGCCAACTCTCGCTCGCCCTCGAGTAGTGATCTGTCGCAATACGAGCCCGGCGGTCGCACCCCCGTTGCTCACCAGTCCCAGATCTCGTTGGTCGATTCCGACACGGACGACGAGAGCCGACCTTTTATCGCGAAGAAGGCTGGTAAGCCTGTCGCAGCCGCGCCTCTGAACGGAAACCAAAACGACGATCCGATGCTCTCCTTCCCCCGCATCCGCAGTGCCGATGACAACGAGCCGCCCGAGGGCGTCGCCGGGTTCCCTGCCCGTGCCAAGATGACGATCAAGGACAAGCTGAGCGCAGCCAAGCAGGCCGTGGCCGCCTTCTTCACCAGGGTCTACACGAGCCTCCCCAACCCTGTTCGTGTCGTTCTCGCGGGTCTGGGTCGCTTCGGTGCCAAGGTCAACAACTTTATCTGGGAGTTCATGAACCCCCCTCTGTGGGCCATGCTGTTCGCCGTCATCGTCGCTTCTGTCCCGGCCCTGCAGCAGCTCTTCTTTGAGGAAGGCTCCTTCGTCAAGAACAGCGTCACCAACGCCGTGCAGTCCAGCGGTAACGTGGCCGTGCCTCTGATCCTGGTCGTCCTCGGCGCCAACCTGGCCCGCAACACCCAGAAGAGCGAGAAGCAGCGTGATCCTGAAGAGGACATTATCGGCCAGAAGCTTCTCATCGCTTCGCTCATCTGCCGCATGCTTCTCCCCACACTCATCATGGCCCCCATCCTTGCTGTCTTCGCCAAGTACGTGCCCGTGAGCATCCTTGACGATCCCATTTTCGTCATCGTGTGTTTCCTCCTCACGGGTGCCCCCAGTGCCCTGCAGCTGGCCCAGATTTGCCAGATCAACGAGGTCTACGAGGGCGTCATGTCGAAGATTCTCTTCCAGAGCTACGTCATTTGGTATGTTGCTCACAAGATTCTCCTCTTGTTGTTATGCCCAAACTAACAGCCTATCCAGGATCCTTCCCTCCACCCTCGTTCTTGTCATGTGTGCCCTCGAGGTTGTCGAATGGGCCCAGCTCGGTTAAGTCCCACGTCCGTGTCAAACGGATCGGCATACGCAAACATCAATCATCATTTTCCTTTACACGTCTGTATTAGAATCAGACGATATGACAGGTCGGTGGCAGCTGCCACAGTCACAGCCCCGAGGATCGGTTATGGTGCATTTTTGCCCGAACACTGGGTTGTGGCGACTGAGTTATCGTGAATATGAAGGGGTATAGCTGCTGGTTTCGCGGCAGAGCCTGACCTACAAAAGTCAAGAGGCTTCCGGCTTGCGCCGCTGGAGGCGTTTGGAGTGTTTTTCCATTGATCAAAGCAGCGAGCGTTCCATATCACGTTTTCTCCCTTCGAGTAGTTTGGACTTTCATCAAAATACATATTAAAAAGTCAGACTAGTGACTTTCACCACTCGCATCCGTGACCAGTCCAAAGCTCTGTCTTTGATCCCGCCTACCTCACACCGTTGACGGCCGTCTCCGCCGAGTCCTCGTTCGTCGTCGTCAGGACAAAGTCCCGCACGCTGCCCTTCCAGTCGCTGATCCTCACGTCGCGAATCGTAACGACAATGACCCTAACCTCCTCTCCCGCAACAAAACAGCCGCGCCCGCCGTCCTCGGCCTCGACGCTCGCAGGGCCAAAGCCCTCGCTGCCAAATGTGTTGTTCTCGAGGTGCTGCTCGCGGTAGAAGCGCTCCTCGGGCGAGCCGGCGTCGAGCAGGCGGGCGGTGCCGTTGATGGTGGCACTGATGCTCGAGACGGCCGACGTGTTGATGTTGAGCAGCAGCGAGGCGAGGGAGGAGCGGTGCTCGGGGCCGGGGGAGCCGCCGGAGGGGCGGCGGGCCGACGTCGGCGGGCGGTGGGACACCCAGTCGTGGACGAGGAGGGAGACGTTAGGGTTCGAGAGGAGGTTCGTCGTCTTGCGCGAGGCCGGGTTCGTCGTCATGGCGATGATGGGCGCCGCGGAGAAGGGCGACGACGGCAGGTAGGTGTAGTTCATGAGCGAGACGTTGGGCACGTCGTCTGTGCAAGTGGCCAGGTGGAGCTGCAGCGCGCGCGCGCGCGTCTTCCGGTTAGTCTTGGCCGAGGGAGGCTGGGGCTCAGGGGCGGAGACGAACAAAACGGGCGTTCTCGAGACATTGGATCACGTCCTGTGGCAGGGTTGCTGTATACTGCTTGTTGGTATCGCCGGCCGAGGCCTCGTAGTTGAGGGGTGCTGTTTCCATTGCGGGGTCTCGTGTCGAGGGGAGGCAGTATGAGGAGCTGATCAAGCCTTGTATCGGGACTCAAATAGATGTCAAGGTGCTTGTGGTTGATCGCAATGTTACGGCGTAAGGCTCAGCTCAAGTTCGCGTGTTTGGCGCTTGCAGCTAAGGTCCAGGTGCCATGATGATCCGTGGTGGAGGAGGGAATCTCCCTCTGCGTGCTGCCGCGAAGTCCTGCTGACTAAGGAGGGGCATCTCCTTGTCCCCAGATCGAATGACGCAAAGCCCGGATACGTACCGAAGCCTGTGGGGTCAAGATGGTAATGAGGGGGAAGGAAGTAGGCACGGGCCATACCACCCACCTGCCGCTGCTTGTGCCGTCTGGGAGGAGAACAAGCACGGCAAGAAACAACCACCGGCTGGCTCCGGCAGGCGGGCACCACCGGCTATCAGCGGCAAGGCACCTTCCCCGGGTGACAACTCTCTACAACACCTCGGGATCTTCTTTCCTCTCTGCCTTTTGTGCTGGGCGATTGAATCCTTTTTCTGTTTCTGTCTTCCCATTCTTCCATCTCGAGGAGACACTGGTCAATTGCTGTCCAGGACATAGAGCCTTCCTCCTTGACACATTCCGCACAACCAACATGCGTTCCATGAAGGCAAAGCATCGGCTCGCCCGCCCCCTCCCTCGCCTCTTGTCCACGGCAGCAACAGGGGTCTCGGCGTCGGCAGCTCCTCAAATCACTCCCATCACATCTCTTCTCATTGCCAATCGTGGCGAGATTGCTCTCAGAATCCACAAGACTGCCGACAGGCTCGGAATCCGTACAACAACCCTCTACACAGATCCAGACGCCTCCTCCCAGCATGCCGCCTGCTCGCCGCACTCCCTCTCACTCGGCAACCCCAAAGCCTACCTCGACGGCGACCGCATCATCTCTCTTGCCAAACAACACGGCATTCAGGCACTCCACCCTGGTTATGGCTTCCTTTCCGAGAACCCCGCATTTGCCTCTCGCTGCGAGAAGGAGGGCATCGTCTTCGTTGGCCCGCCCGCCAAGGCCATGCACGACATGGGCGACAAGGCTCGCAGCAAGGAGATCATGACCGCTGCCGGTGTTCCCTGTGTTCCGGGGTACCACGGTGCGGATCAAGAGGAGGCACAGCTGCTGCAGCACGCTCGCGAGGTCCGCTTCCCTGTGCTCCTGAAGAGCGTCAAGGGCGGTGGTGGCAAGGGCATGCGCATCGTCTTGACCGAAGACGAGTTTCCCGCCCAGCTGCGCAGCGCCAGGCTCGAGGCTAAGGCCTCGTTTGGCGACGGCGGCGAGGTCATGCTTGTGGAGAAGTACATCGTGCGTCCGCGTCACGTCGAGGTCCAGGTCTTCGCCGACAAGCACGGCAACTGTGTGGCCCTCGGTGAACGTGACTGCAGTGTGCAGCGCCGCCACCAGAAGATTCTCGAGGAGTCGCCCGCACCCTGCCTAGACGAGGCCACGAGACTCGATCTCTGGGACAAGGCACGGAAGGCTGCTTCCGCCGTTGATTACGTCGGCGCTGGTACCGTCGAGTTTATCCTGGACCGCGACACTGGCGAGTTCTACTTCATGGAGATGAACACACGTCTGCAAGTTGAGCATCCTGTCAGCGAGATGGTCACTGGCACCGATCTCGTTGAATGGCAGCTGAACATTGCGGCTGGCGAGAAGCTCCCCATGACACAAGAGGAGATCTCTGAAGCCATTTCTCAGCGGGGCGCCGCCATTGAGGCGCGTATCTATGCCGAGAGTCCTGAAAAGGGCTTCATGCCCGACTCTGGCAAGCTTGTCCACCTTACCACTCCTGCCACCGACCCCGATGTCCGCATTGATGCCGGTTTTGTCCAGGGCGACACCGTCTCCGAAGCCTACGATGGCATGATTGCCAAGTTGATTGTGCGCGGTCGCGACCGTGAGACGGCTATCCGTCGCCTGGAGCTTGCACTTCGCGATTACGAAGTGGTCGGTCTGAGCACCAACATTGAGTTCCTCAAGCGCATGTGCCGCTCACCGGCGTTCATTGAGGGTGATGTGGAAACAGGTTTCATCGAGAAGTGGAAGGATGAGCTATTTGCACCTCGAGTCATCACCGACGAGGTCTTCGTACAGGCAGCTCTGGGCTCGTTGACGGCGCAGCTCGCGAGCGAGGCGCCCCACGGCGGCAGTCTCGGTTTCGGCGCGCCCAACACGGCGTCAGAGCGCAGTTTTGCGCTCAAGGTGCTGGACGCATACTCCAAGCAGGATGGCGAGGTCGTGCAGGTCACAGTCAGCCAGACAAGTCCCGGCATGTTCAGCGCCACTGTGACGAGGAAGGGAGCCGAGCCAGTGGTGATAGAGAAGATTGCATGCACTTCATCGACGCCGAAATCCCTGGCAACCAAGCTGACAACCTTCTTCCCCGGCGAGAGGATACACTCCACCGTCGTCAGGACGACACCAAACGCAACCGAGACGCAGGACTCCAAGGTTGTCGTGTTCCAGCACGGTGTAAGGACAGAGCTAGCCCTGCTGCCGCCCAAGTGGTTCGAGAAGGCGTTGGGTCTCAAGGAGATTGCTGCCTCTGTTGTTGCGCCCATGCCGTGCAAGGTTCTGAGGAATGAGGTCGCCGAGGGCGAGGTCGTCAAGAAGGGTGCGCCATTGGTTGTGTGAGTCCAACTCTTCCTCTTCAAGTATCGCTGGAAAATTCGCTAATACCCGACAGCATTGAGTCGATGAAGATGGAAACCGTCATCAGATCACCTCAGGATGGTGTAGTGAAGAAACTGGCACACAAGGAGGGGGTAAGTGGAAATCGGTATCGGCTTGGTGGAAATTGTTTACTGATGACAACTAGGACATTTGCAAAGCTGGCACGGTACTTGTGCTGTTTGAGGAAGAGGCCGCCAACGAAGCGTCATGATTTGAATAGCGCATGTGACGATTGGGTTCATGGTCATGGATGGCGTTTTGGATATCTGGATCAAGAATACATATTCTCGTTATCCACACATGCGTTGCTTGTCGCGTTCAGCCCTGGAGGATCGACATTCCAGGTTTCTCATGCTCGGACTGCCCAGTTGGGGGTTGACCTTGATGGTCCATTACCCAAGTCGCACCCATTGGCACAGCAAGGGTGTTCGACTGATGGAAAATCCGTCGAGGGCGGGGAAGCCGGTATGGAAACAGAACTGAATACCTTCCATGCTTTAGCTGCCTGCACGGCCTGCAGCTCGGGCCACCCGGATCGGTGGTAGAACATCGCCTCGTGGCAAACTTGTTGGTCAAGGCGATGAATAAAAGCAGACAGAGGCGATTCCAGAACTGAGGGGGCTTTGGATCCATCACCGTTGGCCTTCCTATTCAAGCCGGGTGTCGGTAGGCCGATGCCGGAATGACGCTTGCCAAGACCAGCCTCGACCAGCAGCGAACATATCGATTGAACTTGTCGATTGGGCAACGCGACGGCAACAAGAGGGGCCCAAGGGGCCCAAATGAACCATCAGCCTGTTCGCCAAGGGCAATGTGCCTGACCCTGGCAGAACGTTGCATGAGGTCTCCATACGGTCCCATTCGTATTTCCATGTGCAAGGCCCTGACGGCTGATTATGGGCATGTCAATTGGTCGAGTCAGCGCCCCTCGGTTCAGACCTGCCTAAAGAGGCAGGAGATCACTCCTGGATCGCGGCCATGACCGCGCCTTAGCGCGGTACTGTAAGTGGAAGCTCAGTGTTATCTGGTCGAGGGCACCTGGGGTGCATCTGCAGTTCTTGGTTGCACGTTGAATGAGCCAGGGTTAGATTCGCCTCGCGTGAGGGCTGATCACTGACCCGAGGAACGGCGAGCGGCTTCTCCATAGCGGTAGCCGTTGGACAGGGGAATGTGGGAGAGCGGGAGCAAGCATAAAGCGTTGCGGCATGCCCACTCACGAACTCCTCCCGAGATGGATCAAGGACATTCCTCTTGCTCCTCACTCAACCTTGTGTGCCCGCTCACCCCGGTGATACAAGTCTAACACTCGGCTCTCTGTCCCTCTTCGTTTCCTCTCAAAAACAAAACGAACAGAGGTCGACGCACGTCACTGTCAAGATGCGCTTCTCTACTCTCTCCGGCACGGCTCTCGCCGCCGCCTCGGGCGTCATGGCCAAGGAACTGGCCAAGGATCTGGTCAAGGGTGCCGGTACGTGGTGTCGCGATAGCGCGCCGAGCATTTGGTCCGGGGAACACGGCTAACGTCTTTTCGCAGAGCTTTACGACTCTGGCTACATCCACGAGAGGAACATGAAGCACAAGATGGATGCTTGGATGGGCGAGTTTGACGCCGGCCTCCTCAACTCGGAGGTCTGGCCGAGGCTCAACTACACCAAGTGCATCGACGGCAAGGCCGCCGCTGTGCCCGGCAACGAGCTCCTCACGTTCCGCTGCAAGAACATTGACCTGTACGACTTTATCAACTTTGCCACTCTCGGCTCCCCCAACGGCTGGGATGAGCTCGGCGACGGCAACCTCCTGACCGGTAGTGGTTCGTGGGGTTGGACCGACCCCAAGACGGGCCGTGAGTTTGCCGCCATTGGCATGTTCGACGGCACTGCCTTTGTCGAGATCCTCAAGGAGGGAAGGTTGGCCCAGCTCGGCTTCCTGCCCGTGCCGGCCAAGACCAACCCCAACGCGCTGTGGAAGGAGATTCGTGGTTTCAAGAACTACATGATCATCGGCTCTGAGCTCGCCGGCCACGGCGTCCAGATCTTCGACATGAGCAAGCTGCTCACCGTCAACGCCTCGGCCGGCCCTGTCGTCTTCGACATTGTCAAGGACGTCACGGCCCATTGGAAGGACCTGCCCAACGGTCAGACGCACAACATTGTCGTGGACGAGGAGAATGAGTACTTCGCCGCCGTCGGTGCCCGCCCCAGGACCGACGTCTGCAAGTCGGGTCTCATCTTTGTCGACCTCAAGGACCCCTCCAACCCCAAGAGGCTCGGCTGCAACGGACAGGACGGCTACGTCCATGACGCGCAGTGCCTCACGTACCACGGCCCCGACACCAAGTACGAGGGTCACCAGATCTGCTACGGCTACAACGAGGACACGCTCACCATCTACGACGTGACCGACAAGGCCAACTCTAAGATTCTCTCCGTCACCTCGTACGAGGGTGCTTCCTACACCCACCAGGGCTGGGTCCTCGACGTCAACTGGCAGGAATACCTCCTGATGGACGACGAGTACGATGAGACCGACGGCCTCAACCCCGCCTCTGACGGTTACCCCGTGACCTACATCTGGGACATCAGGTCGCTTGAGGCTCCCAAGAACACCGGCATCTACAAGGGTGAGTCTGCATGCTTTTTTTCTTCCCTTTTCGTCGATGTTGTACGCAGACTCACTGACTTACCTTGGGAAACAGGCACTGTCGTTGCCACTGACCACAACCAGTACATCAAGAACGGTCTCAGCTTCCAGTCCAGCTACGGTGCCGGTTTCCGCGTCTACGATGTTTCCTCCATTCCCGAGGACCCCACCGGTGCCGGTGTCTGCGAGGTGAGTTTGTTCCCTTTCCAATTCTCTCTCGGGTGAATGCCGAGCTGACCCAACTTGCCCCCCTTCTCAGATCGCCTACTTTGACATCTTCCCCGAGGATGACAACCAGCCCGGCGGTGGCAGCGTCGAGATGTTCGGCTCGTGGTCGAGCTACCAGTTCGACGGAAGCGGCTACGCCATTATCAACACGATCGAGCGCGGCGTCTACCTCGTCAAGATGACCAAGCGCGCGTCGTGCCCCAAGAAGCAGTCGTGCAACGCCGACAACTGCCTGCGCTCGCTGCGCTCGTCCAGCATCAAGGGCCGCCTCGAGGAGAGCCAGAAGTTCTGCGGCGAGTTCACAAAGACGTACGTCAGCGACGTCAAGGTCGTGCCCGAGTACGCCTCCAAGGCGTGCGGCACCAACGTCATCTCGCGCGTCAGCTCGGCGTGCCACTGCCTGCCTACCCCTACCGCGTGAGCAGGTGAGAGGGTAGCATGTAGTAATAGTAGTAGGATAGAAGGGTCTCCGGGGAACGTCCCGAGAAGACGTAATGAATGCGAATCACGACTTGATGCACTGTGTGTTCGTTCCTACGAGGTGACTATCGTGTCTCGTGCTTTGTATGTCGAGTGCTGTCGGATTTAACTTTGAACTTTCGAGGCAATCTAATTGGCTAAATGCTGTGCAGTAAGCGTCTGATCGTGTGGGCATTCGACCTGGAGAAGTTCATATGGCGGAGCGTGCGCGATTGAGTTTCGTCGTCAGTCCACTCACTGTTCATTCGAGAGCAGCGGCAACAAGTGTTTTCGGGTAACCGGTCTTCTGTCTGTCTGGCTTGGGACCAGTACGCCGAACGTATTCAATTAAAGGTTGAATGGGACAACGGCTGCATGTCCAGCAATGCCCTATGTGACGTACCTAACTTACCACCATGGTACCCAGCATCGGATCAGAACATGGCCTAATACAAGGCAGGGTAAATTCGCAGCTTCGGTTTCGATACCGAACCTGCCATGTCACTCACAGGCCTGACTTAGGGTCGCAATACACCACAGCCAAGCCGCCTCCCCAAAGTACCGTAGCAACACAGCATCCACCCAAGACATCCATCTGCAATAAACCAAAGAAGAAAAGCAAAAAAAAAAAACTCCGGGCCTCCGAAGAAACCTCCTCATCTTCGTGCCCCTGGCGGATTTGAAGACGCTCCATTGGTCGTCAGCCCCCCCCCTCTGACCGCTTCGAATGCTACAGTACCTTGCACTGCTTGTACATGTCCGTCCAACCTACCCTCTGGCCGGCATACAGTATTAGGTTTTTTTTTTACCCCAAGAGAAGAAAACTCCCCGTCAGCTCCCCGCTCTCCTCTTCCCTCCTCCGTCATGCCTTGCGCCTGCATGCCCGACTAGCGCAACCCCCCTTTTCCCCCCTCCCCTTTCGCCCTTCCCAGCGCACAGCATGCCCGCTCTGCCGTGACCCCTCCCCGTCCCTGTCGCGAGAGGGGGGTAAGAAGAAGGAAACGGAGGCCAGTGTACCTTGGGTGGAACAGGACAGTGAGTGACAAGGGAAAAGAGGCGTCGTCGGAATACCGGTCCACGCGGGACAGACATGCAGTCGTCCTGCACGGCGGTGTCCCGCCGCCTGCCGCCGCTGGATGCTGGACCGGGGAGAGAGGGCCGCTGGGCTAGCTTTTGCACTCGAGGATGCGGCGTTGACAGGGGAGAGGGGGCATGGCATGCCGGGCAGGCGTTCCGCAGGACCCCAAGAGCCTGCTACCTTGCTTGTCAACTCGGTGGAAGGCTTCACATGTCTTTTTCTGTGTGTTGTGCTGTGCTGTGCTGTGCTGTGAGCTACTGTTTCAGAAAGGCAAACTGCGCAGCGTGCCTCGCGGCTGTGACGACATGCGCCGCCGACGGTCCTGCAGTGTTGACGCGGGTGAAGAATGAACGGAAGAGGGGGGGTGTATGGTCTTGAAGCGGCCCGTCGGCGACGCTGCTGGGAAGGTAGACGACAGGTTCTACGTATCACGCTACGAGGGGCCCTTTTCGAGGAAGCAGACGCAGCAGTTCCCGCCTGGCACGGTACTGAGAGCGAAGGCATCCAGCTCTCAACAGGCCGGCGGGCTGCGTCGTCACCGACACGCTCAAGGCACGCTCGGTCAGTCATCTCTTCCGATGAACACTTTCGGCAGCGTGACCGTAGGCTCCAGGGCTGGAATTCGACAAGGTCCTCTCTATGACTCGTCGACTATACCAAGCCCCTTGCCGTAGACGTGCAAGAAAAAAAGCCGGTCTGCAATGAGAAGGCCGCCAGTCACAATCGCCACCACCGAAGGGGGCAACTGCGCGTCTTGTCTCGGCGAATCTGGGGTAGACCAGGGATGTTACAACGGTACGAGTACTCGACTAGGTGCCACAGCACTGGTGGTGCGAACACCAGTATGATGTTCAACACAAACCAACAAAGCTCACGAGAAATTGGATTCCAGAACCCTTGTTCCATGTCGAGCCCAGGTACTCCGGAGAAAAGACGACCAAGCCGGAGCTGACCGTCAAGGCTCTCGAGAGTCACAGAACGACAGCCACACAATCACAGCTGAGCGGACATGCATATCCATTGCCCCTGCTGTTCAGCCGCTCCTCATACAGCTCGACTTGAAGTGAAGCCTCTAGTCGGAGTAACAGGCTCAGCTACTCGCCATCAAGCGACAATCACGGAACGCACGCTGCAGAATTCGAATTCTTTGGGTTGACGTCAGCCTGGAACATAGTACCAACACCTGCAATACAAGACACTGCAAGGTCCGACAAGACGAACCACTCTCCGCAACGAAAAGTCTACAAGTCCTTTTCCCGGGTCACCGCCGTTATATATGAAGAGAACACACTGGACATGACAAAAGACGGGAAACAGTGCAGCGAACGAAGAAAAGGCGAGTAGAATACTCTGATATATACAGTTTCAAAGTCTGGTGAATCGTGGGCAAGGGGAAGGCGCGATCCAGCCACAAGTAACGGGAGTAATAAGATGAAGTTGCTCGCGTGAGCGGGAGGGTCAAAGAAAAGGGTGGTTGTGTTGGGCGATCCCAGGCTCCGTTGGTGGGTGTACTGTAGAAAGAAGAAAAGTGTGGCTGTGATGAAAGAGCAAAAGCAGAGAGTCAAGGGGCCGTATCCGGATCCGATCCGCTTCGCGTAAACGCCGACGCCCCCTGGAGTAGACAAGCAATTATAGTAAGAGAGTAGGTGTCGATGATGGACATGAAGCCCAGCTGGCTCACATGACGATGCACTTGGACTCGTCGCGCTCCTTCTTGACGCTGAGGGCGACACGCGCGGCCTCGGTGAAGGCCTCGTTGACGCCACGGTTCTTCATGGCCGAGCATTCGAGGTAACGAGATGCCTGGATGCGACGGGCGACCTCGAGGCCCTGATCGTAGTTGATGAGGGTGGTGTTGCGCTTCTCGCCGGGTTGCGCTGCTTGTGGCTGGCCATCGGCGCCGACATTCTCGTCATCGTTGCCCTCGCGCAGGTCACACTTGAGCGCCACAAGAACAAGCTTGACACCAGGACAGTTATCCGCGATCTCGCCGACCCATTTGCTTTCGACGTTCTCGAGCGAGTCCTTGCTGTCGACGCTGTAGCAGAGGACGATCAGATCTGTGTCGTCTGAAAGGCGAGCCTGTTAGCATGTGACAGTCATGTTGGGCCGTGAGAACAGAGAGCTCACCATAGGATAGACTGCGGAGACGGTCGAATTCTTCTTGGCCGGCAGTGTCCCACAAGGACAGCTCAATGTGGACATTATCGACAAAGATGTCTGTGCAACATGTCAGATACCAGGGGCCTCCTCAGCAGAACAGGGCAGAGCAACGGTGGCGCGCATACCGTGGACATAGTTCTCGAAGACTGTAGGTTCGTAGACGGTAGGGAAGTATCTGACAAGGCTGTCAGAGCATGGCTCGTGGCATGGTGAAGACGAGTCGAGTTTGGGTTGCCCACATACCCTCTTGTGAAGACATTAAGTAATGACGTCTTTCCGCACGCGCCGTCACCTCTGCAAGAAAGAAACGAGACTTTGGTCAGCCAAAAGACTCGTTCGCTTGAGCCAGCGTGCAGGCGCTCGGCCGCAGGGAGTCTTACAGCAGCACCAGCTTCCGGTTAGCGGTCTTGGAGCCTCCACAGAGCGCAGGCATCGTGGGCGATGTTCGGAGGAGGGGGGGTCGAGTCGGAAACGTGAGGGGGGCGAATTCGTCGCGGAGGTCGGCTTCCCAGAGAACAATGGCTTGGGCGGAGGAAGAGGGAGAGAGGAATTCGTTAATTGCTCGGGCGAGAGCGTAGATTGGTCGCCTCGATTGTTGTTGGCACGAGTCTTCGATGGTGTCTGTCTGGGTTCAGGAGTTGGATCTTAAAAGGTGGATCCTCGATTGCGCGCGCGGGCTCTTGAGTAGGTAGGTAGGGAAGTATCTAAGTAGGTAACGGGCGTTTGGGGTCCCTGTCAACGGAGGAGGGCCGGCAGGAAGCAAGAGGGTCGGGGATGTCGGGTGTGATGATCGTGTTCGCGTTAGGGAAAAGGTGCCAGTTGCAAAAGAGGGTGAGATTGATCCAGTCGGGAGACCGAGGGTGGACAGCACGTAGAGTTTGGGGCTCAAGGAGAGAGAGATTGGATAGAGCGAGCACGCACTGGCTGGACTGGCTGGATGGAGGTGACGAGTGGAGGGGGCTCAGATGATCAGCAGGCAAGTGGCTGGAAGCGACATCAAGTGGCAGTGGCAGAGGCGAGGCGAAGAACGAACGAACAGGGCAGGGAAGGCCCCGTCCACCCCGGCGCGACCAGGGAAATTGGCAATTGGCCGAGAACGCTAGGCATGAACGGTACCTGGGTACTTGTGATACTTTTACCGCCTAGGTACTAGGTAGATACCTGCATGGGTAATGGCAAGAATGGGCGTGTCACTGTTCCCCCCTCTCCACATGGTGGGTACCGCCCCCCATCGACAGCGGCAGTAGCGTTGGTAGGCCCGCTAGTTCACTGCGCCAGTTCAACACATCCACTGCACCATCCACTGACGCGGCGCCTGGGAGGCCATTCACCAGAGGGGGGGGGGGTCGAGGCGCAACTGAGAGGCGCTATCGATTCGGCCAAGGCACAGCCCGTGGGCACCCACGGGCTCTGGATCGCGCGCAGGGCCACGCTCTGGCACCACCACCTCGATATTCCTCGATCGGCTCATGGACACGCCGCTAGAATCTCCATATCTCGTTTCAAACGACCACATGTCTCCCGCCGATCAGCAGCTCCCTTCTGTGACCTGCCGCTCAAGACACCGTTGCACTGTATCTCCCATCAGGCATGTGGGCACGCTGGCATGTACTGTACATATATACACGTACCAAGGCCAAGGTAAGTAGGTAGGTATGCTGTATTTAGATATCGCGCCTGCAAGTCATCCGCCAACATTGCAGGAGGAATGCTCAAGGATTTGGCGTCAAGGGCGTGCAACCTGCCTTTAGTGGAGCCAAGGTAATGAATCCCTGCCAGCCCGTCCCCAAGACGCTTTCTTTTGCTCCCGCTATATCCAAGCCCATCAGCCGAGTTACGCTTTATTGGTGACAGGTCAAGCCGTCCATATTTTGAGTAATCATGTCTGCTGGAGAAATCCGAGTCTTCAGCTTCTGCAGTACACATGTCACACCAGCACTCCTCGTTTGTAAAAAGAAACAAGGCATGGTGTGGATCGTCTGGCGATTGACCTCTTCTTCAACCCCGCTACTGCCGACGAGGCCGTTTCGACATTCTACAGCCTCTGAAAGAAACTTGGCAAGACTGCCTTCCGGTCGCCTTCAGTCGTCATCCCGCTGGTAACCCTGCCGACCCCGGCCCATCCGCTCCGCCAAGCCCAAATCCCCCGCCTTGCGATGCAGCCGGTTTGAAAATTCATTCTCGCCTCCGTGCTTCGACGCACGCTGCCGCGCCTCATCGTCGGCGTCGCGCGCCGCCTTCTCCTGCTGCGCGAGCGTTGCCAACCTCTGCTCCCGTGACGAGTCGAGCTCCGACGCCGCCGACTGCATCGCCGCCAGCTTGCGCGCCTTCTCTTCCTCGTCAGCTTTGTGGTCTCTCGCGCCGCCGCCGCCTTGCGCAAAACCTCCGTTCCGCCTGCCTCCGTCGAAACGGCGACGATGCTGGTCTTGCGGCGACCTGTCTGAATGGCGTCTTGGTCTGTCGTAGCTTCGTTCGCGGTCGCCGTCACGTCCACGATCGTCTTGCCTGTCATGTCGCTCGTCGCGTCGGCTGTCACGACGATCCCCATCCCTGCGCCGGTCGTCCCGCCTGTCGCCGCGCTCTTGGTGACTGTCTCCATCCTCGCGCTCACGTCGGCGAGGCGACCTCGATCTCCTCTCTCGCCGACGGTCAACATCTTCGTCCGAATCATACCGCCTGCGTTTTGGCGAGTCACGGCGACTGCTCCTGCGCCTGTCGTTCCCTTCGTCCGAACCGTCCCTGCGGTGCCATGACGGGCTCCGCGATCGTGAATGTGCCCGCCTCCGGTGCCTGTGTCGCCTCTCATCGTCCGAATCCTCACCCCGATGACGGTGCCGCCTCTTTCTGTGCTTGTCCTCCCGGCGTTTTGACCGGTCCTTGGTCTCATCTGAAAGGCCCATGTTGGCCAGCAACTGCCGCCGCCGGATCGGGTCGTTCATCATGGCCTCGTACGCCGCCTGCTCCTCCTTCTTGATGGCGAGCATCGGATCCTCGCGCACCTTGGCCGCGAGAGTCGCGCGCCGTGTTGGCCGTCTGCAGCGCCATGAAGCTCTCCTGCCCAGCCTGCTTCTCCAGCTTTTTGTTTCGGACCCCGTGATCAGATTGTCGATGCGCCGCTTGCCGCTCATTAGCCCTCCATCTCCTCCGTCGTGCCTGTCTGGCCGTTTGTCGGTCCATTGTAGAGAAAGTCGACGCGGTCGATCTTCTTGGTGTGGCCGGCGGCCTCGAGCTGCTTCTGTATCTCCTCGCGCGCGCGCTCCTCCTTCAGCTCGTTGATGCGCTGCTGCGTCTTCTTGCGCTCGTCGAGGGCCTTCTTCTCCTCCTCCCAGACCTTGGCCTGGTTCTTGAGGAGGCCCGGGTGGAAACTCTTCTTGAGGTTGAGATCGCCGCCCATGATGAGCTGTTGGGTTTGGTTCGATGCGCGTGGTTTTCCGGCAGAGCGTGCTGCCTGGTGGCGGTGTCTGCGAAATAGTAAGATGGATGTCGATGCAGGTTGGACAGGCACCGTAAAAGTTGCCTTGCAGCCAGCCTTCTGCAATCCAATAGGACGACCCACTCTCTTTTGCTGAGTCATCATATCATTGTCGCCCCAGGCTGGCCAGGATCTTGGGTCGACTGCCTGGCAACCAATCGATAAGCTAAAGCTCCCCGCCTTTGCGCTGTTCAGTGACCTTCAATGCAGCACAGGCACGCACTAGGAAACGTACCGCCCCTGCCTAGGTCCTACGCGCATCATTGAACGACTACGAGCTCGATCATCGGGCTTGCACGTAGCTCCCTGATTATCGAACCGGCGTCGGTACAAGGCCACATCTCTCTTGCTCATCGGTCATCAAGAGCCCGTTACCAAGTCGAGCTCCTTCCTCGAACGCGGTTCTCGTCTCACTCTCGGTTGAGAAGCTACCCCTCCGAATCCCGCCACCATGTCCGACGACGACTTCATGCAGGAGTCGGATGACGAGCAGTAAGGCTCGCCTTGCCATCAGCGAATGCACCGAATCGTCCTGCTGACCGGGAGCCCAGATATGACTTCGAGTACGAGGAGGATGACGACGAGGAGACCGGCGACGTCGACATTGAGAACAAATACTACAACGCAAAGCAACAGAAGGTCGCCGAGCCAGAAGAGGCCATCGCAGAATTTCTAGGCATCCCCGCTCTGGAAGACGAGAAAGGAGAATGGGGATTCAAGGGCCTGAAGCAGGCCATCAAGCTTGAGTTCAGGCTCGGAAAATACAACAATGTGCGCCTTCCTCATCGTCGCGTCTCGCTCGTGGGCCCTCGCTGACCGTACGCTCACTCCACTCGCAGGCTGCCGAGCACTATGCGGAACTCCTCACATATGTCAAGAATGCCGTCACGAGGAACTACTCTGAGAAATCCATCAACAATCTGCTTGATTTTGTCGAGAAGGGCTCCGACTCGCCCCAGTCGGGCAGGTGCGTCGAGCAATTCTACTCCCTGACGCTCCAGAGCTTCCAGAGCACCAACAATGAGAGGTTATGGCTCAAGACCAACATCAAGCTCGCCAAGCTCCTGCTCGACCGCAAGGACTACCAGGCTCTCGCGAAGAAGGTTCGCGAGCTGCACAAGACATGTCAACGGGAGGACGGCACCGACGATCCCAGCAAGGGCACCTACTCGCTCGAGATTTACGTCCTCGAGATTCAGATGTATGCTGAGATGAAGAACAACAAGCAACTCAAGAGGCTCTATGTCCGCGCCCTCCAGGTCAAATCGGCAGTGCCCCACCCCAAGATCATGGGCATCATCCGTGAGTGCGGTGGAAAGATGCACATGAGCGAGGAGAACTGGGTGGAAGCGCAGTCGGACTTTCACGAATCCTTCCGCAACTACGACGAGGCCGGCTCCCTTCAGCGCATCCAGGTTCTGAAATATCTTCTTCTTACGACCATGCTCACCAAGTCCACCATCAACCCCTTTGATTCCCAAGAGACGAAACCCTACAAGACGGACCCTCGCATCACGGCCATGACCGACCTCGTGGATGCGTACCAGCGTGACGATGTCCACGCCTACCAAAAGGTCCTAGAGCTGAACCGTGATCTCCTCGATGACCCCTTCATCGCCGAGAATATCGATGAGGTCACACGCAATATGCGCACCAAGGGCATCGTCAAGCTGATCGCGCCGTACACGCGTATGAAGCTGGCATGGATCGGCAAGCAGCTTCGGATCTCCGAGTCGGAGGTGAGCGATATTCTGGGCTTCCTCATCATCGACCAGAAGATCCAGGGCAAAATTAATCAGCAGGAGGGCACGTTGGAGATCCTGCAGCACGCCGACGCCGAGAGGGTGAGGGCTATGCTGGAGCTGACCAAGGCAGTAGGCGGCATGTATGAAGCCGTCTTCAGGGATAGCGAGGGCTTCAAATCAAACGATCCCGTCATGGAGGAGGACAACATGTTTGGCCAGGGCTTCCCGAGGGCAGGGAGAGGCGGCGGGCGACACGCCGGTATGGGAAAACGAGCTGGCGGTAAAGGGGGAGGCACCGCGCTGTGGTGAGAGAGGGTCCGTCTCCTTCCGAGGGTGAAGAAAAGGGCGATCTCGCCACGCAACGTCGTCTTCCTTTCTTGGCTTGAGAGAGCGTCTAAGACAACGCGGCCACAAGCAGCCGTGGTGGCAGCGATTTCCCGACTTGGACGATAACGACTCCTTGTAAACCTGTTCGATCGCTCACCCAGCGGGGACGCGTGCATGGGCTGGAAGCCCCACGGCAGGAAGTGAAGACGCTACGGCAGCCTCCCGCTGCGAGTCACCCGATCTGTCAACAAGACAAAAGGGGATCCAGATGAGCCCACAGAAAAGAGCCGGCCTCAACATCATCATCAAAGGGTGAGGCTCGAGAGGGATATTTTGTCGTCAGGGAACGGTGGGAAACGACCCGGAAGACCAAGGGCCAAGACATGCAGGGTCAGCTTCAGAGCAGTGTGGCGCCGCTCCTTCTCGGCGCAGTTGGCTCGTCTCTGTTTCCAGCGTCACTCTGTCTCGCGCTCGCGCTTGAGTGCGCAATTTTTAGGACCCCTACCTTATTAGCCAGCGGCTCATCAAATCCTAGCATGTTCATCGAGGGCTGTCTTGTGCAGAGTGCCGTCTCCAACTGCCTGCGAAGAAGCCTTAGTTCGGCTTGACGCTCCCTTCTTCCCCCCTTCCCCTTCCTCAACACCAAAGATGTCGTATTTTGCCCGCCCGAGACATCCCCGTGGGATCACCGTAGAGAACCCGGCCAAGGCAGAAGAATCTGATCTGGAGTCGGCGGTAAACGACCGGCACCTTGTTCCGGTAGATATGACAGAACTGTCGCCGGCGGTGGGCAGATATACCAGATATTACGCGCATGAGACTTTCTCAACACTGTTCCATGTGCTACAACGAGGCTGCTGTGGCCGCGCCCGCTCAGCTTCCCGTGCGTACACACGCGACATGAGGATACGGGCATCACCAGCCGACCCGGCGGCGTCAACATGTATCAGCCACCTGGGCGAACGTTGGGACTCTCGTCAGGTTGAGCAGCTTTGTTTCACGGCGCCACTCCAAGCCTGACAGGCTGAAAGGGCCGAAATATTGCATGGCAGTCAACCTTCTCGCAACTCTGCGCTGTATTGGGCACCAGCTTTGGCAGTCGAGCAAACAACGTGGAGTGCTCGATGCCATGTGCTCGCAACCCAGAGCCCTAATCAATCAGCGCAATTTTTATTCTCTTTTCTTTTTGTTTCTTGGACCGGTTCTGCGGCCGCCTTGCTGGCGGGCTCCTCTGGCGAGCACTGCCTGGTCCGTGAGGTGCCTCGATCGAAAGGGCCGTTACGCTGCAGGGGAGCATCGGTGCGCATCGCTTGACCGACCGAGCTGCCCGCACTGATCGGTGAGACAATTTTGCTCTCGCAGCGCTGGCGGGGGGTGTGAGCTTGTGGCGGCAGCAAGGGCAGTTCTTCTGCCACGCTGTGACGATTTTTGGGAGCGACGATCCCTCCCCCTGGCTTAGAGGCCTGGACACGCCAAATTGTTGTTTTCAAGGCCGCAAGGGCCGTTGTTCTCACGGATCTTGCGCTACCGCGCAGGGGCCAGCCACATGCTGGTGTTTCTCGTGCGGACAAGGTCTGGTGAGCTCCTGCATTCCGGGGTAAGGTAGGGATGTGTGCGCCCCGGACCAGACAGGAGTCCTCACACGTACGGAGCCCGCCACCAACCACTACCACCACCGCACGATGCGCAGACAACCGGTAACCGAGCAAGGTATTCTGGTACCATGCCATGCATGGTAGAAGTTTCGTAAGAGCAGCCGGACCAAGCCCAGGATGTGCAATGCTCCGCGTCCAGCCCACCGGCCTCGGCCTGAACTGAACCTCTTCGGGTAGGTAGTTGTAGAAGAGAACTGAAACGGCTGAGCCGAGTGGGATCGTCATCGTGACAGCACTGGTTGATCGCCCGAGGAAGGAGTAAAACTCAATATTCAATCATGCACCTCGACAAGGTGCCGGCTGCCGATGGTTTACCACTTTTGTGACGGGGGGGCGGAACAGCGTCTATTGAATAAGAGCCTCGACTCTTGTGGTGAGTGAGCTGACACTGGCCAGGATGCGTTCAGTCAGTTGTACGGATTGTGGACCAGCATCTTTTCACGTAACAGTTGGTTCTGCTTGTGTAATGGCTCGAGTGCGTGAAAGCTGATGGATGCCAAGACGGCGGCTCGGGAGGCACTGTCGTCTGGGGCTTGAAAAAGATGCAAGTAGAGACTGTGCGAGGCAGGTCTTCATACTTCCGACCTTTGCTTGCTGATGGGTGCTGTGGCCTGCAGAGCGGGCACTGCTGACTAGGCCACGGTCTGGGTCGACGCGACGCTTTTCGTCTTTGTGAGTAGAAAAAAGACAGAAACACCGGAGAGACAGCGAAATTTTCGGCGCGTGGACCTTGAGCCCAGATCCCAGATCCCAGATCCTAGATCCCAGACCAAGAACAAGTGGTCAAGTTGTGTCCGGTCCAGATGCGGGCCAAGGCCGGCATGGCGTTCCTTGTTCTCCTGCCATGTCCCCCCTGAGGCGCTTCCCGCCAGGGCCGCAAGGGCCAGCTCGTGGCCTCAACTGGATCGACAACTGTATTGTACAAGTGTTGTTGCGGATAAGGCATTCACATCGCCGTTGCGAAACGAGTCTTAAAGCCGATGCATGACTGGTGATGGAAATTCTTCTCGCCAGGATCCTGAATCATGTGCTGCAATAATCGATACCGGTAGATATACGGAGGCATGATCATCTTTGGCATCAGATCAAAATGAGACCTGTATAGCCATGACCATGGCATTTGGATTTTGGGAAACATGGTGTCCGGGCGTGTTCCGAGAAGAGTGGCCACGATGGGGTGGGTTGTTGGTCTATGCTAGGGTGTTCTGCTGCCCTACGGAATGTGAACGGCAAGTAGTAGCGTGCATAACATGAGAATGTCCGATGACGAAAACGATATGAGTTGTGACATGCCCTTCTGAAATAGCACAAAGGAACACATCCACTAACCAGGTCGGCACGGCGGCTTCAGCGGACCATCTTGAACGCTCCCATGTCCTGCAGTGGTGCTATCGCATCCCTGGTAGGAGGGGAAGAAGCCATCCGCACAGGAGCGAAGGACACTTGGCCGCATCCTCTCGGTAGGCGCCTCCATTCACATGCATGTCGTTTTCCCGGAAAGTTCTTCCTGCCCGTAACCCACAGGATTGCTCCATTCAGCTCCATTGAGCATGGTAGCGTCTGACAGTAGAAGAACAGGCAAACGACCTGCGTTTGTACGCATATGTGGCCATGCCATCCTAGCTTCTCACTTGGCCGGCGCGAGCTTTACAGTACGCCATCTTTGTGGCTGCTCTGGAGGCCAATAAAAGACAAGCTGAGTATGCTGTGCCGTAGGGGGACATCTCCGGTGGCTGTCATTCTGGAAGGAAGTGGTACTCACTGGGAGCTGTGGTACAGATGAATGCAGCGAAGATCGTATGCAACCAGCCCAGCGAGGTGGGTGACCGTTATGCCATGGCCTCAGTGATCAGAGCTATGTGGCGTGAAAACAGTACTGTTTGCGAATTGGAGTGGCGGCTGAGCGTGAGTACAGTGGGATGCCCACGTTCACTTGGTCGTCGTGACATGACTGATCCCCCGCAGCAATATAAGGGTCATTTATTCGTGCAGTACCGGTGGAGTGTAGTGTACCCGTCCAGACGTCGGTTTTTTGTGCCAAACAGTAGGGTACCGCGGTGATGAACAGCTTACTTCTGAATACTAGCATGTTGGTCGTGCCTCTGCAATAGTGTCAAGTCGCCACTACCACAGTAGCTAGGAGCACGAATGGGGAGTGCTTCCGGGTGGTGTTGTCTCTCCAGAGAAGAGCACTTCTCTGAGATACGACCCCTCACCCATACGTGACAGTTTGCAACATTGTCCACTTCAGCTGCAAGATGTGGTTTAGACTTGTCACTGTGTGTGTGCCACACACTGACCTATGCATAACATGTAGGCCACTGCCGAAACTTGCACTCGTAATGCAACGCTAGCTGTAAGGTGTTGTTCTTCGGAGTGGTGACGATCAGTGTTGTCCCTTGTCTGGACGGAGGGAATCTTTTCCATGTAGGCCTTGGCCCCTACCCTCCGGATGTTGGCTTAGAGCAAAGGCGGCACCACCAATTGTCAAAATCGAGATTGGCCACCAACCGGTAGGAAGCCGTTGATTCACCAGGACAATGCTGGCTTACTAGCCAGTACATGTGCTTCCCCCCACACCCTCTTGTGCTAGCCAGCGGCGGGAATTAATCTGGGATCCCCTAACCCATGGAAAATTGGACTGTAGCGTAGCAGCGGCCAGGCCTCTCCTGGCGGGGTTGCGTTTGCCAGAGAGGGGAACAGCTGGCAACCGAAGAAAGAAAAGCACAGGCTTGCACGGAGGTCTACGAGCATAATGTTGCCTGATGTTTCGAAAGCGACGACGATTGATTTAAAAGTCAGGCCAGCAAGCATCGTGGCTGGTCGGATGTGGCCGCCCGTGTGCTCCTGAGCGTCGGTGTGCTCCCGGAGTGCTACCGCCTCCAATTTGCTCTTGAAGCCAGGGATCCAAAACGGAGGTGTTGCCATGGAGTGATAATAGCAAGCGATGGCCGTCGAAGGTCGTCGCCCAGTTTCCTACTAACATATTGGTGGTACAGTCTGGAGAACCCAACTTGATGATGGGGCATTCCAGGGTTGAATGCCAAAAGTCGAGGTTCGTGTTCATCGTGTTCATCTGCGGGGGAACATGACAGGTCCATGTGACGTGCCAGACTACAGAGGTCAGAAAGTGCAGATCCATAGATGGCCGCCAGTGCCAACCCAGCACGCCCCCTGTCAGTCTAGGAGGCGGTTTAGAGGATTGACGAAGGGCAGGGGTGCGGCAGAGTGATGGCCAGGCGCCGAGAGTCTAGCCAAGGCACCAACCCTGGTTTATTGTCATGCCCCGTTGCCTGCCGTGCCCTTTCGTAGGTCGATCAGTGGACAGACGTAGATTTCTCGGCCGAGGAAAAAAGGATTAAGACAGTTGAAATCCGGGAAATCGCAGCTTGAGACGGTTGGATCGCGCGGTATGTCAAACTGACAGAGCGACATGGAGAGTGGACACGACGGCAGCACGGCTTCTTCAACCGAGAGGACACCGTTGTCGAGCTTGTCGCATTGGGCTGCAGGCCAGTGGTCGGAGCGGGCCGCTGTTCAGCGTCCCCAAATGCCAGCTACAGACATACTTTTGGTTTCGGCGGAGCGGTGATGAGAGCTCTGAGGGGGCTCGAACTGCTGGGGGGCCCTTCCCTGACAAGCGGAGAGTAATGTGCCAGGGCTAGGCAATAGGGGAGATAACGGACCGGGATCACTGCAGCTGGAGGGACGGGAGCAACGTCAGTAGCAGCAGGAACCGTAGTTTGGAGAAGGCCACGGCCCACAAACCATAGCCCACAGCGAAAACTTGGGGAGGATCCCCCGTCTCCCGCACCCACCTCAGGACTGAACTGTGACTGGGGTCGTCAAAGGTACGGCACGCAATACAGCAGCGCGTGCAGCAGGTGAGAGGTGAGAAGGCTCATATGTCGTCGTCGTCTCATCGAGGCTTGTCCGACATCAAACCCCCCAGGCGTCGCTTCTCCTTCAACAGTGACCTCCCCCGCCCCTCAAGTCGAATGTGTTTCCCCCTCTTTTCGATGCTCACATCTGACTTCCTTATCAACATATTCGCCCGTTCGCCTCGATTGCTTGTGGAAAGCCGTTCCTCAGATCATATCCCTAACGGCATTGTACCAACGGAGCTTGAGTTCACTTCGGTCTTAAGCACCACATCTGACTTGTTGCTTGGCACAGAGTGACGATCGCATTTGTCAGGGCAGGTGAAGATCGACCATACTCGCCGCTGCCGAGTCTTTGCTGGACCCCGAGACCGAGCCTTCTGCGACAAGAGCACGCAGCAGCTTCGAAAAGGGGTGTGTGTACGGAAGAGCGGAGGGCTTTCGGGCCTTGCTTTTGTCTGATAATACAGTTAGGTTGCCAACCACGTTTGCAGCGCGAAAGGTTTGATCTTGGTTGACCTGCGGGCGTTCTTGCCCGTGACAGCCGAGAAAGCTCAGGTGTCTGCGCGGACAAATTGTCGGGTGCAGTCTGCCAGAGGGTTTTCCGTCCCCTCGCTTGCCCGATATCTTGGACATCCAGTGGAAAAGGAGACACTTACTTTCAAAGGAATCACTCCTGCGAACGTTGAGGCCATGTTCCAACCTCAGCTGACACCATTCGGCTCGTCGTTCTACACACCCACAGAGTCGACAGCAACATACGACGATGGAGTGCCGCTCGACATTGTTCTGAGTGCCGAGTACGCCTATGCTCCGTCTCCTATTGGGGCTCTGGAGCAGAACGGAGGACGACCGCCGCATGCCATGCCAGGGTCAGGATCTGGGTCTGGGTCTCAAAGCGGACCAAGTCGCGGACCTGGCCGTGGCCTGCGACAACAGCAGCAGCAACAACAACAACAACAGAGAATGGGATCAGAAGAAGGTTTTGATGGGCCAAACTCACGGCCGGGGGCGCCTCCAACACCAGGGCGCGACCGTGTTCATATGGGGGGCTCAGGGGAGTTTGGTGTTGGCGGTGGGTTCGGCCTCGAGGGGCAAGTCAGGAGTCCAGTATCAGCACGAACAGGACGGGACAACAGCCGGGGGAGTGCCAGCCATTCAGCCGACATGGCGGGCAGCAGGTACGACCAACACCAACACCAGCAGCACACATCACTACTTCCCGTTCTGTTCCCTTCGTCGGCGTCGCATGGCGCCGGCGCTCCTGCTCAATCTCCTGCGCCTGCTCCCACCACTGCTCCTGCTCTTGCCCCTACTCTGGCTCCTGCCTCTGTGTCTGTGTCTGTGTCTGTGTCTGCGTCTGCGTCTGCCGCCGCCGCCGCCGCCGCCGCCGCTGCCGCCACGACAGGTCAGTCGCAGGAACCCCACGGCCCATTGCACCTGCCACATCGGCCGCAGCAACAGCAAGTGCATCCGCTTCAGCGCTTGCCCCAGCGCCTGCACCAGCAGCACCCTGGCCACAGCCTTGGTCTCAGTCATCAGCACCCGCATCCGCACTCGCACGCCCACCAAACGCACCAGCAGCTCCAGCTCCATCTCCTCCAGCAGCAACACAATCACAATCAGCAACACCCTTCGCTTGCACCATACACCAGCAGCTATCAGCGCAACCGAACACAAACGCAGGCTCAGGCGCAGACCCATTCGCAGACCGACCTCCAGCACAAACTTGCTGCCAATCCCGGCTATAATATCCCCAGCCCGGCCGCCTCCGCCGCCTCGTCGTGCAGCAACTCCAACAACCCGCCCTCGACCTTGTCCTCATACAATCCGAATCCCAACGCCCACGCCGTTGCGACGCCCGCCTCATCCACCACCTCTGCCTCCGCACCAAACTCCGCCTCTGTCCGTGCTCTTTCGGCCGATATGGCTGGCGACTCCTCGGCCGATGCTGCCTTTCACGACGACTTGGCAGCTCAACAGAGGGCTGCTGAGAGCTACCAGCCTGACCTCCAGGTATGTCCGGTAGACCCTGCGAAGTCGCGCTCATAATGCCTCGTCGGTCCCTCCGCCCGTGTCGGGACCTCTCCGTCTCCGCGCCCTCCTCCCGCAACACAACCCAAATTCCGCCTTGCCCCTCGCCCCCGTCCATTCTGAACCCTAGCCACACGGCCCGATCCTGATGATCAGATCCGATGCGGGCCCCGTTGCACATCCCCTCCAAGACCCTTCACGTTTTTGTGTTATAAAAAGACGGCGCCACAAAACTACTACTTGAAGTGCCCATCATCGCATGTGCTAACCTTGGTCTCAGGGTCCTTTGATCGGGGATAGGCTCACCAGCAACGCCATCACCGCCGAGTATGCCAAGGCTGATCCTGTCTATGTTGAGAAGACGATCGTAAGTACATGCGATGCCCGCGCGCTTCATGATCTGCCTATCTGCCGACTTGGAAGCATCAGGCGCTAACGATTGGGCCCTCTGCGCCTTGTCTGTAGAACCTGCCACAGACGTACTCTCATTATCGGCCAGTTCAAGGCGATGGTAACTGCGGATGGCGAGGTGAGTTGGCTTGGGCTGCATCCAAGCAAGCACAAGGCTGCGAACTCTTCCCCCTCAACATGCTGCACATACCCTGCATTGCCTTGGGCAACGTGCTTGGTCGCAGCAACTGGGTGATTGTGAACCAGGGCTGACACTATTGTTCATTCAGCAATCGGCTTCAGCTATTTTGAGCACCTCGTGTTTACTGGCGACCCTGATAAATTGAGTCAAGAACTTGCCCGCCTCACCAGCCTCAACAACTACATTGCCAATGTCGGTGGGTACGATTTTGAGCTCTTCGAGGACATGGTCCATGAAACGCTCTCTTTAATCAAGGATCTTGCGGATGTTGTGACCGATTCGGCTACCGCCATGGCACTCCTGATGACACGATTCAACGACGCACAATGCTCCAACGCTATTGTTTACCATCTTCGTTTACTAGCGGGGTCTTGGTTAAAGGGCAATGCAAACGATTTCGAGCCGTTTCTTGTCGGCAGCGGCGGCCTGCTACAGTGGTGCAACGAGAACATCGAGGTCCCTGACCGCGAAATTGACCACATTGGCATCACCCTCCTCGCGAACATTCTACTCAAACCCATCGGCTTTGTTCTCGAGATTACCTACCTCGATCGCACACCCGGCTCGCAGGCCAACGTCTACCGACTGCCCGAAGAGGCCACAGGCCAGGACCCTGCCAACCTTGGGCCCATCATCTACCTTCTGTACCGGCCCGCTCACTACGACATTCTCTACCACAAAATGTCGTCCCGATTCCCGAACCCTGCAGCCGGTGCCCCTGCGCCTCTCGAGCTGCAGGTCAACAGGGCCATGTCATTTTCCCAGCAGCACGAAGTAGCAAGCGCCACACCCTCCCTGCATAACTTCTCAACTGTCGATTTTAGCGCACTGGCCATGCTGCCCGGGTTCAGCGGCCCGCCTTCCGCCATGTCTTCTTTGGCATCACCCACGGCAGTGTCCCCGATGCACAACGCTTACGACCCCTCGCCGCAGACTCCCTGGCTGTCGGCCCCCTTCTCGGATTCCGCCATGCAGCAGACCGCGCCGCCGGCCCCGTCAGCGGCCCTTGGCCTTCTGCGGACTCAACCTCGACAACCACCCCCCTCGTCGACGTCAGGCAGCCAAGCCGCTCCCTCCAAGCCAAGCCAGCCCGTCGACTACCAGTTGCGGTTCAGCTCCCAATGTTTCCACCTGAAGAACTCTCCCGCCGAGCCGACGTCGATGCTCTCGCAGAATGGCTATACGGAACCCAACTTTACTACGACCATGTTCAAGAACAGCCACTTCAACAAGGCCCACTATAATAACCCACAATTCCATCCTGAAGAGTGGGTGCCAGACGACGAGCCACACGACAGGAGCGTGAATAGTAAGCGGAAGATCCGTTCGAGGTCGGATTAAGAAGTGCATCATGACCACAGTGGGGGAGGCGGGGTCTCAATCATGCACCGTGTATCAATTGAAGGCCTGGTGATTGAGAAAGGTAGTTCGCTTCGGCTCCATGGTGGAAGCTGCGAGCACTTGGTGCTCTGCTGCGAACAACAGGTTCTCTTCTCAAAATACCAGAACGGTCGATTTGCCTCCTAGGCGTATTTTTTCAAGTCACAGGGACTGGTCGGCAAAGTGTCTGGCTTGGGCATAGCCATCAAGTAACTGGACATGAGGGCCGCATTGCATGATGCTACTGCAGATGGGCGGGTGCAGGATTAGGCGCAGACAAGAGAAACCTGTCATATTTCGTTGCGTTGGTTCATCGGGAGAGGGAGGGGAGCTTGCTTATGTTTTCCTTTTCATGTTCTCTCGTTTCATGGCCCTGCTCTGGCTCTGGTTTCCGCTCCCTCTCCCTCATCTTTCCTGCCTCCAACGCTCACATCCACTTATCCGACAGTGAGGTGGGCTCCATGTCTGATTTCTGACAGGGCAGAAAAAGTTCAGCGACCAGCTGTCGACTGCTTTAGTGTTTCTCTGGGGGTTTTCCTTTTGCGGGTGCGCGGTCCGCGTCTACGTTGGTAACGAGGTGTTGCTGTTTCTTCATAGCATGGTGATGGATGAGTTTGGGCCGGGGCCTCGGTAGGATACGTGTTGATACATTTTTTGTGCGGCTGTTTCAAGCGTGCGCCATCTCCGTCACCGTGAGCTGTTCTAGACTTGTTTGCCTCGACGTGTCATGAATCTGTGCAGGCATCGTCACAGATACGGATACCAGTCGACGTTAGTCCGAGCTCTCGAGCCCGAGCTCTTCCGCATCGAGCGTCCGCGACGTAACGCCAGCGGCACCAAGACGGTCGGCCAGCTCCTGCACCCACAACCCGGCGAGAGCGTGCCGGTAGACATCGGCGTCGCCGCCAAACATGTACAGCGCGTCATCGAAGCCGCGGGCGCCAAGCTCGGCGCGCACGCTCGTGACGGCCTTGCCCTCGAGGCCGCAGGGCACGAAGCGGGCCCAGGGGTTCAGGGCCTCGGGCCCGGCGACGGGCGTGTCGATGTTGAGGGCGACGCCGAGGGCCGTGACATGGCGGCGCAGGTGGACGCCGAGGGCGGCGATCTTGCGCGGGGGCCCGTCGTCGGGGGCGATCCAGACGCCCGGGTCGGCGGTCGAGGCGGTCGTGGCGACGGGGCGCGGCAGGGAGGCGAGGAGGGCGCGCGTCGTGTCCTCGAGGAGGCGGGCGTAGGAGCGGACCGTGTGGTTTGCGTGGTGCGGGGCGTGCAGGTCGAGGACGGGCCAGAGGACGAGCTGGCCGGGCCCGTGGTAGGTTGTGAGGCCGCCGCGCGGGGAGGCGGTCACGGACGGGGTGTAGCGTTTTGTTATTCTTGTTGGCGAGGGCGCGCCGTCGTGCGTGCCGGGTGTGGAGATGGTGAGGGGTTGTTGGAGGCGTGCTTGTTGGGCGGGGTCGAGGGTTGTTTGGCGGCGGCCGAGGGTGTAGGTTGGTGTTGGCGTGAAGGAGATGACGGTGGGCGAGGGGGCCACGGCGGCGGCGGCGGAGGAAGAGGAGGAGGAGGCGTCGCGGGAGGCTTTGTGGTTGAGCAGAGCGTCACGCAGGGTCGCTTGGAGGGCGGAGGCGGCGGCGTAGGAGGGGAAGCCTTTGGAGGAGGTCAGGTGGATGTGGGTGATGGTGGCGGGTGAGGAAGATGGTGATGTTGAGGCTGGCGCGCCGTCATGGTGGAAGTTGCGCGTTGAGGAGGCCCATTTTCGGCCGGCTCGCGAGGTGGGGGCTCGTCGAAGCAGGTGCCAGGGAGCAGCTGGTGGACGGACCATTGGTTCGGTGTTCGACGTTGGTCGTGGGATGTGTTGACAGACGTGGCCACTCCCACAGCTAGGTACCTATGGTAGCATGGAGTTCTGGAATTTCTCAGAGCTCGAGCTGCAAGGCAAGAATGGATCGCGGGTTGAGCCGGTGCACGGACCGAGATGGGGCCCAGTCCAGGCTCAGGGGGTTCCGCCCCCGGCTAGATGATCCGACCGAGGCCGCGGGACGGTGCTACGGTATGTTACATTGCGAAGACAAGCACTCGCTGCATCATTGGTGAATTGTTTAACTCTCGTGTAGTGTAGGCATCGGACTTGTCATCATCGCCGTCATCCCGCCCGGCAAACCCATGGCACGTGTGAAAGAGGGAGACGGTCTGGTGGTGACGCGAGAGGTACGATGACTGCACCACCCTCTGTCTAGCTAGCCGCATCCGGGCGGGACAGGTGGATTGACGTGGGAGAAAGAAATAAGGCACTACGAAATAGTGATAGGCTTTGAGAGCCCCGGGAACAGCTTGGTGTGTCTGTACTTGTTGCGCCGCTTTGAGAGAGCGTGCAGTCGATCATGTCGCGAATTGCTTCTGCGAGCGGACATGGTGGCTCAAGTGGTGTCGATAGATCGCGAACAACTTCACTAGCGCAGGAAGCCGTCGATCATCATCGATCCCCTGGGCCAGGTTTTTTCGTCTCTCCAGCGCTGTGGTAGACACCTTGCCGGCCAAGACAAGAATAGTGTGCCTGCTTGAACGGACTTGGGTGCTCTTTTTCGTCGATGGCCAGCCACGACATGCTCCCGAGAGGAGGGCCAACAAACTTCACGATGCGTCGTCTTTTCGTATCCTACGCGTACGACGTTTGTCTGTTGCGCAGACTCGCCCTGCAGGATCGAGGCTGTGCAGAAGGAACGCGCAATACAAATGGCCGACAGTCAGGCATTGGGAGGTTCGTCCCAGCGTCAGCGTCGGCAGTGCGGGACAGGCGTACGAAGCCAGACCCTGCATGTGAGGGGATGGTCCTGATCCAGCTTCCACGCGGCCTCGTCTGCTCGTGTTTCGTTTCACCGATGTGTGCGTGTGTGTGTGTGTGTATGTATTGATTGCACCGTCCCTGCCGGGGATGCTTCTTCAGGCTGAGTTGCTGCTCTGCTCGGTGCTTGCTTACATGTCTGGCCATTGCAGTACACGATTCTATGTCAGCTCATTCGGAACTGGGAGCGCAGCACCGACCATGAGGACCGAACATAGACCGAACATGAGGACGGAGGACCAACATCGAGCACAGGACGGGGCGTGTTGTGTTGTCTTGGTGACGCCTGGGCATGACGTCGCCGTGGACCCTCCGCACAGGCGTCTCCAGGTGGCTCAGCGCTGTTCCGCCCGCTAAGGCAGCGCCGAACTGGCAGAAGACTGGGGGACTGGGGCCCTCAGCTTGTTTGTTCGTCCCAGCAGCGGCGCTAGTTTGTTAGCAGCCCCCGGTGCCAGCGTCGCATTGGCCGGCGCAGGTGCTCATGTGGGGCTACGGCAGTGGTCTGTGGAGGTGTCGTCATGCAGCGAGGTAAACTGGTAGGTACCTAGAGGTAGGTGCCCGCCTCCCTTAAACGGTAGGTACCTAGAGGCACCCAGGCAGGTAGCAGCACCTGGCTAGCGAAGCTCTCGCCAACTCCGGCTCCTCGCCCTTCACTGCCTTTGCCCTCGTCAACACGTCCCACCCGCCCAGATCCCGAACATCTGATCGCTTCGAGCTTTGCGTCCCGGCTTTGCTTTGAGCTTGGAGTGGTCCCCGCATCCTCCTTCGTCCTTCGTCCTTCGACCTTCGTCCTTCGACCTTCGTCCTTCGTCATCCGGTTGATCGTCCCTTTTCCATCGGCTCTTTAATTGTCCCCCAAACCCGCCCGCATCCTCTTCCCTCTTTTAGACAGCTCCTGCTCCTGCTCCTGCTCCCCATTCCGCTCTTGAGCCAATCTCCTCCTCCTCCTTTGCCATTTCCATTTTGCATCGGCATCACCACCATCACCACGACCACCTACGACTAATACCTTGCCCCCCCTTACTTACTCGACATAATACTAATGTGAGTACTACCACCAAGAGCCCACCCAAGTGTCTACAACCTGTTGCCACTCTCTGTTCCTGCGCATTGCTTTACACCCGCTCGCGCCTGCAGACAGACGGCAGGGAGATGCAAACTCCATCAAGACCTTGCTTTTGCTGACAAGGTCCTCTTCCTCTCCCAGCGTCGCCTGCCGACTTTTTAATACGCCCATCCACTGAAACAGTGTCGCGCATCGCCATCTCAGGCCTCGTGTGTCGTTGAACAGGCGAGAGCACACAGTGAGTGAACCGCCGTCCCCCAACCTTGTCTTGTATCGCCTCCCTCCCTCTTCCCCTTCGCCTCTCTCCCTCTTTCCTTGCCCTCCTACGCTTCCTGCCACCGACTCGCCCTCGCTACTTTGTTTTGCGAGAGACAATTTATTGACCCAGACCCCGCGGCAGATCCCCTCCTGAGCTCTCGACAACATCAACATTCTCGAGCTGCTTCAGACAGACCCGTCGCCATGGTCAGCCCAAAGCCCGCTGCTGGCACCGCCGGCCTCATCCTCCTCTCGGGATCGCTGGTCCTCATCTTCTTCGTCATCCTCTCGGGTGTTGCCAACACGTCGCCCCTGAACAAGACGTACTTCCTCGAGGCCGACACCTCGGGCATATCCGGCGCCCGCGACGTCACCCGCTGGACCTACTTCTACTTCTGCGGTGACAACAACCGCGACTGCTCGAACCCCCGTGCGGCGCCCGCCTTTGGCCGTGCCTGGGACGGGAACGCCGCCAACGTTCCCGACGGCCTCATCGGTGGCCATGCCGGAGATACCACGAGCCGCTTCTACTTCTACATGTGGCGCTTCGGCTGGGTCTTCTACCTCATTGCCCTCTTCTTCATCGTCTGCGCCTGGTTTTCTTCCTTCCTCGCCTGCTGCGGCCGCCTCGGCTCTGCCATTGCTGGCCTCGTCTCCGCCGCCGCTCTCTTCTTCTACACCATTGCCGTTACTCTCATGACGTGAGTCTTCCTCTCTTCCTACACGTGTGGTCGTTGAAATAGCCTACCGTGCTGCCCTCGTCACCCTATAGCCCAAACTAACGCGTACCAGCGCCACCTTCGTCAAGGCCCGCGATGAGTTCCGCTCCGCCGACCGTTCTGCCAACATTGGCACCTACGCCTTTGGTTTCTCCTGGGGCGCCTGGGCCGCCCTCTTCCTCGCCACCATCGCCTTCTGCTTCGGCCTGCGCGGCGACAAGACGGCATCCTCTGGTGGCTTTGGCGGTGGACGCCGCTGGGGACGCCGCCGTCACAGCACCCGCTCGCGCCGCAGCCACGACCTCGGCAGCCGCCGTGTCAAGGACGACTACTCCTAAATAAGGGATCTCTACTCGTATCCCTTTTTTTCAATGGAGTCGCATGGGCACAGACCCGAAGCCTCGCGTGCTACGAGAGACGTTTTCACGTCAGGAAGCGCTGGTTGTAATGGGCGACGTAATGGGTGACGACGGTCCTTTCATGGCGTTAACAAGACGGGGAGTCTACGGCCGGACACTCGGAGGGCGGGGATCCGGGGAAGGAGAGCGACCGTCACGGGATACACCAGGGGGCAAGGGGCGTTTCTCCTCCAGAAATGTCCGCCCTGGACTTTTGTGGAGGATCTACTTTTGAGTTGCACTTTTTTGGATCTCGCGTCCCCTTTTTCATGTTGATATTTACGAGGAGCATGAGTGCCTGACGAGACAAATCTAAGATCATGAACTGCATGCCTGTGATTCCAGTGGAGTGCTCAATCCTGTCGTACCAACCAATGTGAAGCAATGCAAGCTGCACATCTTGGGCCAGTCTTGTTTCGATAAAGGTGTATGTACGACAAAGACAGATGGTACCAACAAGCAACCTACAGACATTGGCCATTTGGATCCAAACAGTACCTTCAGCTGCAAGTATAAGCCGTCTCCTCCCGAGTGATAACCTTAGCGGACCGAACGAGCGGAATGCGCCAAGTCGACTTGGTCAAAACAAAGCAGAAATCACATGGTAAATCGTCCACTACCATCTCACCATGTCGTCATCCACAGCTCAACCACCTCGGTCAACCACACGACCCAAACCCAACAAGTACCAGCACAAAGAGGGAGAAAACATCTTTTCTCGTGAATGGCATCAGTATCAAGTAAGAATTCGTATTCACCCGATGCTATGACCCCGCAAAACCAGCGGCAGAATGGATCTAGCGCCTCGCCGCCAGCCCCTGATTGCTCCGCGCACGGCAGCTCCTGCGCCTACTTGTCCCGAACCACATTCAGAGTCTCTCATACTTTTCACCCCCCCCTCCCTGACCTCCACTATTTCGAGCAAGACGCGTAAACCACGTCTCGTACAGCAAAGATTCGACACCGAAAAAGAAGAAAATGCACCTCGAATCCCCATTTCGTATACAAGGGGTCAGAGTGCGGCCCCCCCCAACCTCCACGCCATGCGTTAGAATAGCTGCTCGTGATCGTAAGAGTTGAGAAAGTAAAGGGAAAAAAAAGAACAAAAGAAAAGCCAAAGTGTATGCCTGGTGCCTGCGAAGACCTGCTTCTCTGTGACGAAAGGGAAGTATCAAAGTACATGAAGCCAGCTTGCTGCAATATCGATGGCTTCTTCTAGGCCAGCGGGCTGCCGACGGGACTGACACCGAGCGGCGCCGCATGGAGCGCCGGCTTCAGTGAGCCCGCGCCCAGCTTTCCCAGCCGCTTTTTCTCCAAGACGCCCTTGACCCAGTCGGCGACCTCCTCGTCATTTGTAGATGATGTCAGGTTCATGTTGCCGACGGCATCGGCGACGGCGTCGGCTTCCTCGCCCTCCTCAGCCTCTTCTGCGATCGTCTCCGGCTTGGAAAGAGGTGCGAGCCAGGGGTGCTGGAGAAGCATGGCATACGTGGGACGGTCCTTGGGCACCTTGTTCAAACAGCGCTTCACAAAGTCGCG